ATAATTCAAGTTTCTTCCACTAGGTATTTTCTTAATGTTGCCCGTTCAGTTATGTTTGGCATAATCAACGTTGCTAAAAAGAGAGATGTTAATTAATGATGATACGAGGACAAAGAGATGTGTTCTATAATAATAATTATATATATATGATTGGTTGAAGATTAGAATGTCCAAATTTGTTATTCATGAACAAGATATCTATCAGTTAATACAATGGACAAAATCTTTGTATGGATGATTCGCATTTGAATTGAAATCACTTTCATTCACGAACGCAATGCATCCAATAAGAAAATTGCGACGAATTCTAAATCTTTCTTTACAGATCCTTTATGTCTTTGACCGACGTTCTATGGTCTCGTATGCGATGACCCCATACATACACCGATCTAGAGGCAGCGACAGGGAAAAGTCGAAAGGGAAAAAGCAACAGATAGAAGGCAAATGAATATAATCATCGAACTACAGAGACCCTTTATTCCCGCAATAAATTGTCGCCGTTCATGGCCCCGAGAAATACATATCTACAAGGCGAAATAAACACTCTGCACAGATTCGGCAAACTCGCCGGGCAGAAACGGAAAGAGGGCAGGTCATGATTCCGACGACAAATTCCGGAATGGCCAGAAGAGGCAAAAGGTCGAGGAACTCAAGGAGCTCATGGCATGATGTACGACTACGTCGTAGGCGCAATGAGTTGTACCGCTGGTATGGCCGGGCGCATACTTTCCCGTAAAGAAACCGTTCTCTTTATGGAAAAAGCCCCGCGGGGAATAAACTCGAAAGTACGCATGTTTCGCGCTTACCAGGTCGCTGGCAACTGGGCCACCCGTCGGTCGCAGCGTCGGGCCAGGGGCAGGGCAGGGGCAAGGGCAAGTTGCGTGCCTTTTGAAGGAATGTTAGCCCCGAGGAGACATATACTCGCGGGGCCTGTCTCCGGGGTCGATTTCTCCCCCGAGCCCCCCCTCCCCCCAACCCCAACCCCCATCAGTTTCATCGAGAATTTACCCCCGAGGGTGGAAGTGGTCGTGAATGTCCTAGTGTCCATCATGACCCCCTGTACTGTACCAGCCGCTACAGCTTATTACAACTGCTGCTGCCGATCCTGATGCTAATGCTAGCTAGCATGCATGAACTGAGCTGCGCTCGAGGAGAGGGGGCGGTGTCGTTGATTTCTTTCTTTCTTTCTTTCTTTCTTGCTTGCAGGGGTAAGGAGAAAGGGGGTAAATCTCACGAGCTGAGATCATGAATTCGTTGTGGACAGCAGATAAGGGGACCGTTCCCGCCATTTTGGTAAAGGTCGGCTTTGGACAGGTCAACTTTGTCTGGATTCTCGTCGAAGCCTGTCCCCTCTCGACCCACTTTCTGTGCCCCTGCAAACAAATCGTGTACGATCAGAAGTTTTTCCAGGAATCCCCAGACGTCATTGCGAGCATATGCTCGGTCCGATCTGATACACTGTGTCGGATATTTATCAGCCTCGTCTTGCATTAGGAACTTGATGTGATTTCGGCCTCAGAGGTCCTCGAATGAAATCAATTTGGCTCGGCCATTGCAAGTTGTCCAGTTTTGTGTTTCAGGTTGGACGACTCGTGCTCATTGCTTCCGATCGAAGTAATGAATTTACATGTAATACATGTACGATCCAATTTCTTTCGCTCCAAACAAGCTGTAGAACTTCGAGAGGAAGTTATGGTTGTGTTTGAATTATGTGTTTATATAACAAAATGGTTTTTTGTGATTGCTCCACTATTAATACCAAATTTGAAGTGAAACCCTTCTAGTCTATGATCTCCCGGTGAAATCCAAAGTGTTGCCGCATTTATTCTACATTTGTTGTGTGATATTGTGTTGACAACTTATGTTCAGTGCGATGCTCATGCTCATATATTTATTTTTCTTAAGTCCGGTTGCTCTTGGCAAGCAATTAAATTGCTAGCTTTTTTCCAAACCTTCTCGTGGAGACACGCAACATACGTCATGAAAGTCTGCGAGCTTCAAAAAATTCTTATATTTGACGTTGATGTCAAAGAATAATCGCATTTTATGTTTATTTGAGTAGGTAATGATAAATAATATCGTACAAACAATATATAACAATCAAACAATTTTCTACCAACCTCTAAGCTTGGCCTGTTTGATGATTTATTTCAAATTTTTAAATATTTTTTGTATTTTTTCTTAGACATATTGCTAAATTTTATTTATTTCATCAAATTGTATATATCATAAATTATGGTTTAATAAATGCAAGTAGAAATTGGAAAAAATTGAAAAAATTTCAAATTTATAGAATAGATTGACTTTTCTGTTAATATTGTAAGCTCTTTTGATAAAAAAATTATGAAAACGGAAAGTATTTTGTGATTTTAATAGAAAATTATTACAAAGAATTGATTTGATCAAAATAAAGAAATTATCTTTATTTTAGGTATTTTTAAATAATGCATCACAATACAATAACGCATAAATATAAAAAATAGGATTGTTGAAGTTATTTGTTTGGACTGATGTCTGAAAGCTGATATGTGTGTTATTTGCTTACAATATTTCTTTCTGTAATTGTGCATTAAATTTCTAAGTGAATAGTAAATTCTAACAAACTTACATTTAAGCTTGCGAACTAAGATTTCAACCTGCACAACCACATTTCAAAGTTGTTGAAATGTTGGGATGTGATGCAATATGAAATAATATATATAGTTTTTGAATAAAATATATAAGATTGAAATTTTTTTGAAACCATAATTTAAATAGGGAAAAAAATTTAAGTGGAAAAATTTAATTTCAATATTTTTTATCATTTAAGTATATAATTTTTTTTCAGATTCCATAATAAAAGTTTTACCTTTTATTTTGTGTTTCAAATTACATTTCAATTTGATGATTAGTCAAGACATCTTTGATGTTTATTATAGTATATTTGTATTGATGTTTTGATGCCATTTTGAATGACAAGTAAAGTATATCAGATCATTTGTATTTAGGAAAATCAAATGCAGTAATTGAACACTCGATCAATGTAAAAATTCATTCACACAAGCACAGACACAACCGAAACGGGACATAACTGCACCATTGCAGTCTACATGCACATAACACTTAAAGTTGTACACTTAAAAAATATCGTTGAGAGTTTGAGTGAGTTTTTTTAAATTAATGACAGTTTAATCAATTTCACTTACTAGTGTTAGTATAACATGGATTACAAGTTAATCCGAATTAGCTCATGACAAACTAATCAAGTTTTTCACACAAATTGCGTATTTTTTGGCAAAACAAATATAAGATTGATATGTTTCCAATATCAATCTTACAAAATGAAACTAATCTTTATATTCATGAAATAATGGAATATTATAAAAGAAACTAGATATGTCATTTAGTCTTTTCAGCTCATAGATTAGCTCATGCAGATTATAGTGAAAAAATTTATGATTTAAGGCATATAATGTGATTACATTTTTTATTTATCCAATATTTTTGCATCAAAGTTTTAGCTTTTGACTAGTATGCAACTATGTTAATATTAGAGCTAAAATTTCTCAAGATCTTTATTACTGATTTGATCATATTGTTGATATAAAATCGTAGAAATATTTTTTGAATCAAGTGAATTGATATGCTGGCTTGTTTGATGTATAAAAAAGATGTATACTTTGGTTTTTTTATAGCATAAGTGTTTAGCCAACTGATATGCTCCATTGATAAGGATATTAGCTTTTGAATATTAATAAATTATGCTGGGTGTGATTGAATGTTGATTTGATTACCATATTAGCTCAAGGAATCATCTTGAAACTGAAAGTCTGGTAAGAAAATTTTATCAAAAACTAAAAAAAAATTAGTGAAGATTGGATCAGAAAACAAGTGATATGAAAGAGTAAGACATCATGCTTACATGGTTTGTCATGTATTGCAGATTCACCGGTCAAATTTTTGATAGATAGATTCTCACGGCACAACTAATCATATCATAGAGATACATACTTGCATGCAATCATTTGATTGAAAATCAGTTCAAGTAGTGGACTTGAATGATCATCAGAATGTGAAATATAGAAATTACATGTTAATTATTTTGATCATTAAAAAAAAACAACTTCCATCCAAAACAGTCGTAAGAATCTTGTCCAATATCCTCAATGCCATTTATGAATGAAGAGAATGTATGCAATGCAATATTCGATTATCTAGATAGATTCCAATAATCATGGAAGAAATCATCGCCTCCCCTCCTCACCACTACCATTGGTTAACTCAGTAGTAGGGTAATGTGCATGTGCAACAAGATTCATCATCCCAGCTACATGACGGGCAAAGACACTTGGATCCAGTAGGTCATTCATTCATTCCGAATCGGAATATTGTACTGGAGCTCTTATTGCATTTCTTCACGATCGATACAAATTGCAGGAGTACACCATAACCACGAGCTCTGCTCTGCTTGCCAAATATCCGTAGCCTTGTTCCATAAACATGCGCCACATTTAGAGTCATCGCTAAATTTGGCGCCTGTTGTTCGTAACTTGAAATTGCACCAAAAACCGATATGCTGCACTATATACAATAACTATGGTAAAGATAGTAGAATCATAAAAACTCTGGATAATTTGTAATATTGTAGATGTGGAGCTCAGTATTAACCATAAATTTAAGCACAATCTCCATGGAAAATGTTATGTCTCTCCTTCAAAGCCAATCTCACAGCTGCAATATCTACTGACTCCATGCGAACGAAGTGGACAGAGGACTTGATTCCGAAGTGTTTGGGTTGTGTCATATCATGAACCCAGGTCCTGAAAAAACTCGATCGCTTCATCTGATCATAATTTTAGTATGGATGACGGTGAGTAGTGTTGTCCAGTTTCACCTCACCGATGGATCTATATTTACACGGTTCAAATGAGAGAGAAATAACAACTATGTTTCCTTCCAGATTTTTCCTTATGTGTGTGCGGTTGTTCTTCTGTATTTTTCGTTTGTTACACGGGATTTTTGCCGAGAGAGTCTAGAATGGAAATCGAGGATTAAATGTCCGAATGAGAAAAATTGTACGCTTGTGTTTCAGGCAGCGCTGTAACGTCCAAAAGGTATATGTCGACGAATGAATGTTGACGGATCACAAATTCTAGCGACGAAAGGTGCGGCAGCCCAGGCAGAATTTCGGAGGTGAGATGTGTCTTATTTTGGTTCGTTCTCGAGTGCTACGGTCGTCGTCGTCGTCGCCGGTGGACGTGCCGGACGGCGCCGAGAACGGGGAGAAATGGTAAGAAGTGATGATCATTGTGATGTCTCGCTCTGACCGCGGGCAGATTTGCTCGTGCTATTCTGGGGTCAGCTCGACACTCAAGTGTCACGCCTCGTGTTCAAATCAAGTCCGGCACGGCCCTGGGCCGCAGGACGCAAGCCCCGCACTGCCAGGCCAAGCCCCGCCCGGCTGTAGTTAAGGAGGACGAGGCCGGGCACGCGGGCGGGCGGGCGGGCAGGCAGCGGGGTAGGCGAGGGAGGCCCACTGGGCTTGTAAGCAAGGGCAGGGCAGGGCAGGACAGGCAGGCCCAGCCTTTAGCCCAAGCCCCCGAGAAAACTCTTTCTAGGAGGCGAGCCACACCTGAAACGCTTTGCATGTTATTATTGATGGCTATGGGGCCCCTGGTTTTGGCCTGGCATGAGCTCTGGGACTGGGCTGGGCTTGGGCTTGGGCTTCGGACTTGGTGTTCTACTCTAATATGAGCTGGGGCTGAGCTGAGCTGAGCTGGGGGAGTGAGTCCTTGAGAGTTGCCCTTGCCGTTAGTGGAATGGGGGGCATGATATTTGAGCTGGAATGATGACGGGGGAGTTTGACACTTGTTTTCGTGATAATTCTCGACTGCGAATGATGGTATATCTCGAGTTTGTCGCTCCATGGTGGATGTTTTTGTTTCGGATCGAGCTCAGGGAGACAACATGATAACATATCGCAGCGTTGCGATAAGCATTAACTCCCAGAGGGTCGTTTGTTGCATTGATGAAATATCTGAACTGACAAAGCTATGAATGGAGGTTGGACGGGCTCTCATTGCTCAAATATCTGGCGTTCCTATGCCATCGAATGTAAAACTTGTGCACCTCAGACTGAAAAGGATCGATGATAATAACTTCACACGGCGACCGATCCACCACGTTTCACGTCCACATAGACGCCACCGTGTGCCATATGAAATTCTCCCCGTCTCGCATTCCAGTCATGCAAGCCGAGCTCTGCAATCGTTCTGTTTTTCCATGATACTGTCGTTTATCACGAGTCGAGCATGGTGGCAGTCTACTTCCGGTTGATTGATGAATGCACACAAGCCTTTAGCTGTGAATCGTACGAGCATCTGGAATCGATAGACGGACAGTCAGTGGAGTGGAGGAAGGAGGATCCAGGACGAGTGCAAGTCAAACGCGCCTTCGATCTAACGAGAGAAACATGTCGTGAGCTGGTTTAAGCCCAAAGAATGTCGAGAGGCAAAATGTTGATGGGCAGTCTGAGGAGATGTGACGTACCTACCCTTGCACCCTCTGGCCCTATGGGGCTGCATGAAATTGTGAATGCCGCTGCGAACGTGCAGCTCCATGTTTACAGTTCGGTTTGGATGCATGGATGCATGGGCTCAGATTGTAGGTGGAGCCCACGACGAGGCGAGTGTGTGACCTTGCTTGATCGCCAAGGCAAAGTTCATGTAGCCAATGGCCTCGCATGCTCATCTCACAACGACTTCGCTCTGTTGAATTTTGCTTTTGCTTCAGAGCCCGGTGGTACTCATGACGAGACAAACACCTGCCCCTGCCTTCCTCGGCTGCTGCCGCTGGCACTGGATCTCTCAGAGGGCTTTGGATGGGGATGACATGACAGTTCGAAAAGCAATTCAGTATTTGTCTCTCGGTCCTAGGCCTGTGATGATTGCGCCTCGTAGGGTAATTTGGAAGGTAAGCCTCCGAGCTCGTGGAAATCAACGAAAAGCTCGACATTGCAATCTGCTCGACACGAGAAAGAATTCCAGACCTGCAACGAAAAGCTACGGACCTCGACCTCGTCGCATCATCCTCCTCCATCGCCTTGCGCTTTCTCTTTCTCTCTCCCTCTCTCCGTGTTGGAAGCACGAGAAGAAGTAGAAGAGCGACGGATTACCCCATGGCTCGATTTGTCCGGCATGCCAAAAACATCCTGTGCACATCGCGGCGGGGGATGTGGTCGAGACCCATCCCCGTCGAGAACAAGAGCTGCGAGCGAGCGAGCGATGGAGCGCGGCTAAGAATAGCCGACCTGCTGGCCCCGCGAGATGTGGCCGAGCCAGATTGGGCGACGATATTCAACGGCGCCTCCACACGAATCCACTGGTTCTCCGTCCGCCGGTGCTCCGCGTCCATGGCCTTCTTGAACCACACCGAGGCTCCCGAAGAAGAAGAAGAAGAAGCACCGACCGAGCGAGCAACTATGGCTATGGCTACGGTCATAGCCTCGATCGAAATCTCCTGGTGACTACCGAACCAGGCGCGGGCCAATGAGCGAGGCAGCGAACTCTAAAATCCCAGGCCCGGAGAGAGGCCATCATCATCATGCCTCTCTCTCGTCTCCACCTCCTCCTGTAGGCTGCAGCAGCAGGGTGATCCATGTGAGTTCCACCGTCCGCTCGGGGCGAGAGGGCGATGGCAGGGCAGCTCTCGACGAGCATGGCAGGTGGGCTGAGGACAAAGGCCGGTGCCATTTCGGGAGCAGATCTTCGCATCGACATTACTCGTGCTCTTAGGTTGCAGATAACTGCTTTATCCAATTTTAGTTTACCGTTTCTGGAAGACCGGGAGCGATGGGGGCGAGATAAAGCTCGCCCCTTTCGTCCTCCCACAGTCCCGAGCATGTAATTCCAAATGACTATTGCCGCCTGATGACGACCGCGCCTCACCTGCTCCCGTATTTAAAACCAATCCAATATGCCCTGACGTGCTCTCTTTCTACGATTCATGGCCTTCGATCCCGAGGCTGCGAGGCTGCGAGAGAGAGAGAGCTGCCGAAGCCGAAGCACTCGCTTCTTCCAATTCGGCACCCCGACACGAAGAATTGACCTCGAAGCATCTCGTCACGAATCCCCATGCGGCTCGGTATTCACCGCCGGCATCCCGGCGCTACTAGATCGACTCCATATTTGGCAGGTCGTCGTCGTCCTCAAAGTGCAAAGCGGGCGTGATGTATTTTCCGAAAAGAGCCGGAGCGAATAAAACCCTGAGAGTGTGGATCTCGCTGTGTTCGAATCCGGTGCAGATCCTAATTAGCATCTGGCCGCACTTGATTATACTAATTTGGACCATCGCGAACGAAGATTGAAATTAGGTTTGTCGCTCTCTCATCCTATTTTCTCTCCTTCGGTCGTTCCGTCCTGACTCCATCCACGAGGGCCTCCTCCTGTTCCATATCCTCGCCTTGAAATTGACCACGGTGGTGCTGCGAGAATCAGGTTTGTAGTTTCGAGGTTGGGAAGAAGAATGCGGATATTTTTAGGCGACGCATGATTAGGCAAGTCTAAATTCGAATTTCGACCAAGTAAAGGTCGGAGCGAGTTTTGTTTTATTAGGGCACCAGTCGACTGCCGAAGTGCGTGACATGGAGACGAGACTTCATACAAAAGTCTCCGGTGGGCGACCACTCTCGACCCAGAGCGGCGAAAGCGCGAAGGATCGACGATGGAGGAGAAGGAAGGCCAGCGGCTCTGGTCGCCCGCCATCAGAATATCTGCCAGAGCAGATTTGCTGTTGGTCAAACCGAGCCATTGTTTATACTGGAAATCAGCTTTTCGAGCGCGACGATGCAAAAGAGATCGATGCCAACAAACGGTGCAGGCTGCGAGTCAGTTTCCCTCCTCAGGACGAGAGGAAGACCGGTGTGATGACGAAGCCCCCCGGGGATTGACCGAGGGCTAGACAAGGGCCTTAGCCCCAGCCCCAGCCCCAGCCCCCCTCTCTTTCTTTCCTTCCTTCCTTCCTTCCTTCCTCCCTGCCTGCCTGCCTGCCAGCCCCGAGAGAGCCAAAGCCAAACTAGCCCTGCTCAGTGCCCAGCCGGCTGTGTGGCTAGCAGGGTGGCTGGGGGAGGGGGGGCTGGGGGTCGAATGGTTGGACATAGGTTTGGGGGAAATGGGGGCCTATGACGTCGAGGGGGGTAGGGAGGGAGGGAGGGAAGGGGGTTTCGAGGGGAGGAAACCATGAAAGTCTCGAGAGGGGGCAAAGGGTGGTTGGGAGAGTTTGTTCCATTGAATGTAGTAATGTATAGTTGGGGGGAGAACAGGTTTCGAGAAAGGTGAAACCTGACACACATGAACGACACCACCTTCGTGCATGAACAGGGGGGCGAGGAAAACTTGCCGGAGATGCTGATGTCATGTCTCGTTTTGGACCTGTAGTCCGAGGGCAGGCTCGGTGAGACGCTGTAGCAAGTAGAGAGTACGATGGAAGCAGAGAATCTGCGCTGCTAGAGTGGGAGAGGCAAGCAGGCCAGCAGCAGGTAGGCGGACCACTGCTAGAGCGAACAGGATGATACTTTGTCTTACACTGCAAGAGGGGCGACTCGAAGCGAGAGAATCGTTGCGTGCTAAAAGATGCAACACTCCATGATGCCTTCGATATTTTAAGGCTTTTGATATGGAAGACTCTTGGGATTCCATTCCTATCGAGCTTACTAGTTTCATCTGGATTGCCGTCGTCGAACACGTGTCTCGTCCGCTGTTGGTGCAGCTCGACTCGATTCACCGGCACTCCTCGTCCAGGGGTGGATTGCATTCATGAGCCGACTGCCGTAGCGGCTGCTGCTGCTGCACGGCGTAGCCCCCATTGCATGCAAGGCGTCATATAATTCAACATAACTCTCCCCCTCTCTCATTGCTGGCCTGCTGCTGCACTCTTTGCTCCTGGCCGTAGCCATCGACTTCTCATCTCTCACACAAAATAAAACACAACAAGCCTACGGCGAGGGCCTCCGACCGCCTTGTGAGTGAGTCCTCCGTGACACAGAAAACACAAGGCCCCGTAGACTCATCCATCACCACAGCGCTGACGATGAGGGCCATGCTAACCCTGGCAGAACGAACATATACGTGAGAGAGAGAGAGAGAGAGAGAGAGAGAGAGAGAGCTTGAGATAAATTGGCAGCATGAAATAAGCAAAGCTTGAAGCGAACACAACATATCAATCAATCTGTGAATCTATCTATAAGCTCCATGGGAGAGAGAGAGAGCGCCTGAGATAAAGCTGGCAGCATGACATAAGCAAAACTTGAAGCGAACGCAACATATCAATCAATCTGTCTATAAACTCCACGGGAGAGAGAGAGAGAGCGCTTGAGATAAGCTTGGCAGCATGAAATAAGCAAAGCTTGAAGCGGACGCAACATATCAACCAATCTGTCAATCTATGTATGAGCTCCACGGGCGACGAGAGGAAGAGGGGGGGAGTGATGAAAACCCTTTAAATTTATTTAACAAGGAGAATTTCTCCAACAGAATGTGAGTGCTCAACTGCAGCCCCACAGGTGCAAAACTCGTTGATTGGCGCGAGTATCGTTTCATAGACCGTCCTCTCGAGGACACAGCCGAGCGAGCAGCCGACCGGCGTGCCACCCGAATGAGTAAATGCACAATCTGAGGCACCGGCAGGCGGGGCGGGGCTCGGCAGCAAATCAGAACACCACCACCTTCTCAATTCACTTCTAGCCTACAAGTGCAGTTGTCAAAAACAGGCCTACACGATCTCACCTACTGATTGTTGTCACAAAAGCACATCACTTCTGCCAATCCGCCACTAAAACTATCCGCCACGCTGCGCTGGTCCGTCACCGCGGACCAGCCGCGGCAGCACTATATTGTGAGCAAGCTGTACGGCAGACGGGAGTTTCACCTGTTCGACTATACAACGGTGTGAATAAATTACAACTCATCTCATCTCAACTCAGGTCGCAAAAATCCTTTGCTTTCTGTGAAGAACAAGGGGACGATCCCCATAAATGAAGTATAACTGTTGGCTGACTGTAAGCTTAGACAAGAACAAATGTACAAGACGGGGGGTGGGGAAGGGGCAGGGGCAGGGGCAGGGGAAAGGGGTTGGGGTTGGGGGTGGGGGTGTGAAAGAATCATCGGGTTTTAGCTTAGGCTTAGTGTATTTTGGCGTATTTCAGAGGCGGTCCCAGGAGGCTCATATCGTGGCTCAGGTGGCTATTTGACAGGGGTAATCGTTGGGGCAACGATCTCTGCGACCCCAGGGGCGGGTTTAGCCCCGTGCTGATGCCGGCCACCGGCAGCGACATGGCGTGGCATAGCCCCCCGTTGGACGCCGCGGTGTTGTGCATCGACATGCGCATGCCGTGGCTGCTGTAAGCGCTGCCCCCGTTGCGCCCCATGCCGCTCACGGGGCTCGAGTGCTGCTCCAGCGACGGCACCGCCAGGCTCGCCGAGCTCATGGACACTCGGGGAATCTCCACTGAGTCCATCGCCGGCGGCGGGTGGCGCCACTGCGGCAGCGGCCCCGACAGCAGCAGCGTCTGCAGCAATGGCCCCGCCTTCATCACGGCCTGCAGCAATTTGCCCTTCTCCGGAAGCGAATTCAGAATGTGCTGCATATCGGCCTCGGGCGGCACTGGCAGATGCATCGGCCTCGGCGACAGCAGGCTGCTCGATGGCGAATCGCCATATCTCTCCAGCGGGCTCAGAATCGACGCCACGGCCGATCCGCTCTGCAGAAGTTGGGGGGCCGATTGGTGGTGCGTCGGTATGGCGGGCGACACCATCGCGTACGCGTCGATGTCTAAGTTGGAAACCGACGAGGACACGAGCCCGTTCTGCATCAGCGAGCTCGAGTGTGGCGGCATTTGCCAGCTCGAGTGCGGCAGGACCGACATGCCGTGCACGCCCACGTCGCGCCCCTCCGATAGCCCCGAGTGGCAGGCCTGCTCGTCGCCCATATGAATTGTGGAACACTGCGACGAATTGATCGTGCAGCATTGCGAGGCCGGGGAGTTGCGCTGCTGGTGCTGCATGTGCGCCAACAGCTGCTCTGATTCCTGCCGCTGCTGCTGTTGTTGCTGTTGCTGCTGTTGATGTTGATGTTGATGCTGTCGTTGCTGCTGCTGCAATTGCAATTGCATCTGGTGGTCGTGAAATTCTTCAAGGCTCGGGGAATTGTGGTCCAGGCGGGCTCGCGAGACGTCCTGCGGAAAATCCATGTGCAGCCGGAGGGACTCGTCGAGGATGGAGCACGATTGGTCGGATCCGCGCATCTTCATCTGCACGCCGGTGGGGAAGTCGCTCCACGGAGTGCTGGTGACGCTGCCGGGATTCAGGCCTTCGGTGCACTGCGCATTGGCCGATTGGCGGTCGGGCGAGTGCATGTCCAGGGCCAGCTGCTCGCGCGCTTGGTCGCCCGGGTGCTGCTGCATGTCAATCTGCTGCTGGAACTGGTCCAATTGCTGGGACGACATGTGGGTCGGGTCCTGCCGGAGCTCCGGCATATCGATCATGTGATGCGGCTGCAGCTCGAGATGGTGCCCGTGGATTTGCTGCTGCATTTCCAAATGTTGCAAATCCAGCTGCTGCTGCTGCTGATGCTGCTCCTGCATTTGTCGGTGCACTTCAGAGAGCGTACAACGAGTGGGCTCCGGCATAGACGATACGGATTCCATTTGCTGTACACTGGACAAACCTACGGTGATACCATCGCTCAGGCCTGAGCCGAGACTAGGTGATCGAGACAACCTGGCCTGAAGCTGATTGCACTTGTCCCTATACTCATCCCTCTCCTTGCGCATCTTACTCAACACCTCCTCCAGATGCCGCACTCGCGCCTCGTGGTGCCGCACCTTCGCTTCGTGGATCTGGCCCTCGGCCTTCGCGGATTCCAGCTCCAGCGTCGCGCAAATCAAGAGATGCTTCATCTCCTCGTTGCTCTGTGCACACGCACCACCAACCAAACAATCGACACACGATCAATCCAAATGCCAGATGCCTCCAACCCCTGCTCTACATTCTAGCCCCCTTCCCCCCCAAAACGTGGGTCGCCCGAACGGTCCGCGACCATCGCTGATGAATTATTCCTCAAGGCACCCCCACCCCCACCCCCACCCCCAAGCCCAGCCCCAGCCCCAGCCCCGCGCACGCTCCTGCTTCCGCGGGGGCTACCAGTATTTTATTCGTTTCCTGGCGACAAACACACGACAAGAAATGGGCAGTCGGGCCGACGAGCCCCGAGCAGCCCCTCCGGCGGCAGCGACAGCGCCGACGGAGGAATCGCCCCTCGAGGGCGCTGCGAGACTATGCCTCAGGAATCTCGCCTCCCGCTCTCCTCCTCGAAGACCGAGAGCGGGAGGAGAGCGACCTGGAGGCCACGACTCCAGGTCGCTCCTGCCTCTCGAGGCACGAACGAACCGCTCAATTTGCTATCGGCCAATGTCAAGCGCATCATCAACGCCCTCGCTGTCACCTCGTCGAATTTACACGAAGTCGATGACAGAGTTGCCGTCGGGGAGAAAACTAGCGCACTAACGAAGCGAAGGAAGAGAACGCAACAGTCAAAAGAAAGCGCGATTTGGGAACGAAATGAGAGACAAGAAGAGCAGAACAGAACAGAACACCGCCCGATTGAAATAACGGAAGGACCCCGAGGGCATGGGCCAGCAATTAGGACGACACTCTGTGCGTTGCAAATGACCGAAATGACCGAGTGATTCAATTTCCCCGTAGACACAATCACAGAGCATAATTGAAGTTAGTCTTATCTATAGCCCCTCGGCACGAAAAACAAGGGGAGAGCCAGAGTGCGCACTTGGCCAATATGGAATGTAGACGCCAGATGCGTGTCCATGGCAGACAGAGTCCCTTCCATGACTGCTCGGCTGCCAAAACGAGCCCCCTGGCGCTTCTCCAGTGTCTTCAGCTAGACTTTACAATTGCCAACCAAGTTTCCACACATGACGACCAGATGACATTCTCCAGCCCCGGCGTCCGTCCCTCTGCCCCGGTCAAGAACCGACGTCATTGGTGTTCCAGCTTGCGTTCGCCCGTCCCAAATTGCTCCATATCTGCTTCGCACCTAGACCCAAATCTCATCGGTGGGGGAATCGCCAGCGCCTCTGTGAGAACGTATCCAACGCAGGTCGGGCCAGGAAGTGAGAGCCAGGCGGGAGCTTATAACACCTCGTCGTGCACAGCCTCAGAATCCATGCTCTGGCAAGCTCCTCCGCATGCCGCCTCGGGAAATCATGCCTGCACGTACGCTCGAGCTCGAGCTTTGCATTCGGTCAAAGTGCTGTGCTACACAATTTACCCTCAACGCGACGACGGCCACTACACTACACAACACAACGCTGCACTGGCGGCCCGCCTCGCTTCAAGCTTCAAGCTGCCGCACACTCAATCTCCATGCCTGAGAAGATGGACAAGAGACAAGCCGCGGTGTAGTCCCCCACAGTGCTGCGCTACACTCTCTGCCCCTCGCCCACCATCGCCCATTAACTCTCACCCTCGCACAGCCCACTTTTCACTCATTCACCCACTCGCTCTCCACTCGACTCTCACTCACTCACTCAACGCCCTCTCGCTCGCTGGCTCGCTCAGGCAGTCGTAGCGGCAAATGCGAGAGCAGGCAAGCGGACAGACCGATTGACTCTAAGCGCCTGCGCACTGGATCTCGCAGCTCCTACTTCAACCCCCGGCCGAGAAGAGGGGAGGGGGAGGGGGAAATGTGGCGAGGGCGAGAGGGGCGTAGAAGAAGGCCAGCGGGAAGAGCGGCGGCAGGCGCAGGCAAGCACCAGGAGCAAAAACAACTGGCGCCGGTGAAAAGTACCACTGTAACAGATGGGGGGAACAACAGGGGCCGGAAGCAGCAGGAGAAAATGGTGATGGGATGCCGGGAAGCGCGGGGCTCTAGCCCATGGCACATTCGCACCTCCTCTACAGAGCCGTAGCTCCGACTAACCCCAGCCCCCGGAACTGCCCCTGCCCGGGACTGGACGGGCCAACCCTGCGTTCGCTATCCGCTCGCCTAATCCCGCACCGTCCCTGCCTGCCTGCCTGCCTGCCCGGACCCGCGGTACACTGACGAGGGCTTCATAGCGTCGCCAATAAAGCTCTCGGACGCATTCCGTCGGTTGCAGGGGGTTGGGGTTGGGGTTGGGGGAGGGGGGCGGGCCCGGATGGGGCAGGAAGGGAAGGGTCAGCCGCCACTGCGCCGGCAGTTGCAGTTGCAGGCAGGACCGCCATGGCCTTCTCCGATGCTCAGCGGCGCACTCATCACGCCACGTGGCAGGCGGCCATAGGAGGGACTGCATGTAGGACGGAGGCTCGCGTTCGTTCTCGCCCCGCCGGACGTAGCACCGGTCGACGTTAGGGTTTGCAGCATCGACCGCCGCGCTCGCCCGCTCGGTCCCGCGGCTTCCCGTCGGTCCACATCCGTCCATGGTGCAGGGCAGGGGCGGACAAAAATGGGGGCCTGCAGTGTCGACCCCCATGGTCCCCATACATCGACCCAGTGTCGACCCCCCATACACCTGCATCGCCGCACTCTGCGCCTGACGTCAGAGGGCATGTATGGATGATGGTCTAACCGCATGACCTCACCACTCATCCTCCCGCCACGCGTCCGCATCGCCGAGCCCCTATCCATCATGGTTGCCATGCATGACCCGTTCCCACCTTTCCACGACACCCATGTCCTGACATCGCTACGCTTTTCTTGAACCCCCACAATTCCTGCCCCGTCCGCCGATCTCCATCCATCCCTCCATCCATCAGCCCCCCATCCCATCGCCAACCCCAACCCCATCCCCATCATCCTCGCCGCTCCCTTGCCCCTCCTGCTCTACCCGAGAGGCTGACAATCTTAACGGGATTAACTGTAACTGCCCAACTAACACACCTGACTTTCCCCCCGTCCGTCGCCCGGCATTCTCATTGCCCCCGCCTCTCCCCCCCGGCCGAGCCCCCTCCGGCTCGCTCTCAGGGCCGGAATCCGCCCCCCGCTCGCCTCTCGCTCTCGCCCTGTACAGCGGTGAGAATCCCTCCATGCTAATCCCGTGAGTATGACCCTCGTTACCTCGTCGCCTCTGCTGGAGACGAGGACGGGAGGACGAACGCGAAGGACGGCCCCAACGTGACAAGTCCTTGCTATCCCCTACCGCCCCCCCCCCCCCCCCATACCCCCTTGCCAAGTACAGCTCCTCCCTTGTTTCGACTATGGCCATAGTACCGAAGCACAAAATAGACACCCTCTAGCACCAGCGACCGAGAGAGAGAGGGGGGCAGAGAGCGGCCGCCGTGTTTCTGTGTGGGGATGAGGATTATGGAGTGGCGGGCAGTCACGATCGGCAGTAGTGGGCCAGACCAGGGGGTCGGTCGGCCCTGTTCCTCGCCTTCGTTCTCAATGAATGACTCGTTCGGTAACTTTGGGTCCGGGCGAGTGATGGGGGATGATTTGTTAAGCACCCGCATCAGTACACATCGTCCTCGTCAGTCAGTGTCGGGAGGAGTTGAAGGCCTTGCACGTACGGAATGTAATGCTCACACGTATTTTGGTATGTGGTGTCTCGTACTGTACACCGCGGGGCTCGGGCTTGGGCTTGGGCTTGGGGTTCCGTTCTCGCAAAGGCATCATTTTTCAAAGCGGAGGTGGGGGCAAAGTAAGTAAGCGGTTCCCTACCTCGAGTGTGAGAAGGAGGAGGGAGTCTCGCAGATGACCGCGACCAATGCACAGAAGCACCGAAGCAGTAGAGCGAGCTCTGCCACGTGGCGACCGGCTCCGGATGGGGGCAGCTGCGGGGGGGAACAGTCAAGTTGGGGCAGAAGGAGAGGGAGGGGCTCGAAAGTGGCTCGGGATTGTTTCTCCACTCATGAGACACTGTACAGTAATAGCCACATCGGACGCCCGAAGATTGTAAAGAGGAGAAGCGGGCGGAATGTCCCCCAACAGTGAAACTCTCGTAGCACTGTAATGTTAAAAGAATTTTGGTCCTCGCGGGTGAGGGAGGGGGGCGGCAGGCACAACTGTTCCGAGGGGGGGTGGGGGTGGGGGTGGGCTTAGCACAAGCGCTGGAATGTGCCCCAACAGTGAGGTGCCGACCGACCTTTTAGTCTGCACACACAATCTTCATATGAGAGGCGCGCCTAAACAAGAGAACAAAGTGCTGCTTTCTTGTAAGGTGATACTCGCGCGCGGCCACATTAACTGGCAACGCAAGCTCACACTCTCGCCTCTCACAGAATGCGTGCTTCAGCACAGGATAAACATATGAGCCCCTCCTTCCAGCCAAATGCCCTGTGCATTCACTGCACCGATGTAGTCCTCAGCTGTAACCCCCCCAAATGACATTCCGATGAATGGAGGAGCCTAACGAACTCAATGTGGAGTACGATCTCGGTTTCATCTTGTCCAGCTGAATCAATCAAGCCTCGCGCGCTTGACCCAGCATGAAGTTTATCAGACCTTGCTCTCTATTATTGACGGAGCACATTCTCCTCGCGGTCTTTTCTGAAATCGCCCGAAGTAGCAATCGCCAGTTGATCCGCGTATCTATCGGTTATGTTACAGAGTAGAGATACATCGAAGGACTCGGATGGAAGCCCACATTGCACTGGAGCATGGGAGACAGTACAGGACACCAGGACGGACGCTCAAATCAAACGCAAGCATTTCTCTCGGTGCGTTTAATTCACGCACTGACTTCGTTAGACATGAGGATGGACGGGACGGGCATGTGCTTGCAAGTACGGGTCTACTTTCCGACTTGGCCACCATGTAATTTGGTCACAACCTGCGCGCGCGTAGAGAGTCAACATTGCATGACAGTTTTGGAGTTAAACGGACCTTGAGCTGTAGTCAAATCGGGTGTAAGAAGAACGACAACGTAAGCGAGCAGAGGATAGGAATGAAGGGAACTTTTGGCCATGCTTCAAGTGGGATGGACGAAGACGGACGAGGGTACACCCGAGCCGAGCCGCGTGTACAACCATCATCCGAGGGTGGAGATCGCACCCTCGGTTCTGGGATGGGTGTGCTTATGACTCCTTGCCCCGTCTTCTTCTTCGCCCCTCGTACGTTAAGTGGGGCCTCTCGGGGGCTAAAGGGTGCAAAGAAACTTCCCCCCTTGCAAAAGCCTGGCTCTGCGCTGGGGAACGCAACGCAACGGAAGGGATGAAACGTCCAATGGCTAGGTCGCAGTCGCGGGGCATCCTCATCACTCATGCACTTCCCCCTTGCCCTTGCCCTTTCCCCTACCCCTCCCCCCTCCTCCCCTCTTTGCTCTCGCCGGGTGTGGCAGGGCCGGGCAGGAGGGGCTTGTCTGGGCAGGGCAGATCAGAACAGGGGCAGGGGCAGAGTAGAGTAGAGTTCCAGGACCTCCCCTGCTGCAGGACTTTCCTTGCCCCTCGCTCTTCTCTAGTGAGTCGTCTCGTCTCTGTAGAGCGGTACAGTCCTACAGTACAGTCCCGCCCTTGACAAGGACGACGCGAACGGGGTCACTCACATTTTACCGCTGCCCCGAATCGGTCTGTGTCACGAGCGAAATAATCGGACCGATGGATCGATACACCGTCCACAGGCGGCAGGATATTCACCGGGTTATCCGCGGGTCGCACAAGGTCAGGGTCAGGAACTGCAGCAGCAGGAAGGAGCGGAAAGGCGAGTCGCCGCGGGACCGGACGGGGGTGGGGTAAAGGAGGGGGTAGAGAGAGAGAGAGACCGGCAGGGGCTCTCACCGAAGTGTCAGCGGATTCGAAGACAAAGGCTCGACAGAAATCTCAGAGAATCACAATCGCCGGCCGTCTGACGGACGGACGCCAGACGGCAAATGGGGCAACGGAAAGCCCCGCCGAAGCGCGTCGATTGGAGTCGACGCCGGGCGACTCGAGGGTCGCTCCGCTCGCATGCACGTTGGCAGAGTAGCCCGGCCCGCAGAGCCAGCGGCAATGAATGTTCGTACAATGAATAAGGGGATGGGGATGGGGGGATGGGGGGAGGGGTAAGGGGGAAGGGGAAGGGCAGGGGCAGGGGCAAGGGAAAGCAATCAGGAGGGGGTAGGGGAAGGGGCTTTTCTGCCGGGTTCCAAGGGCGCCCGTCTGCGGAATACGCCCAGAGAACATGCAGCTGATCTATAGATGGCGAAGGGGGCAATTTGGTCATTGGATTGGAGTGTGGCAGGAGAGCAAATCCGTTGGTTCCTCCACATTGAAGATTTTGGGCGTTGCGAACATAAATGCGCGCTACTTCTCGTCATCATCATCGCGGCAGTGGATGGATAGCTCCGACTCCAGTTTACTTCGCAGTGTGTCTGCATTTAGACGTCGTCGTTGATGTGGGTGGGGTCGAGCCAAGGCGAGATTCATTTCATGTGGCCCCCCCTCGCATTTATTGCACTTCCGAGGAGGATTTGGTCAACACTCGCTCGCTCGGTGGGTATAACTGCTATCAGTGTCCTGACAACCGGTCAAAACGATCTCTCACCGGCTTCAACTGTAAAGCGACCTGCTGATCTCGCGCCCCCCCCACACTCGGTTTCCCGTTCGCCATTTTTCAAACCCCTCCCCCTCCCTCTTCCCCTCTGCATGCATGCGTCCAATTATGCGCAGCGCGTCGAAGACTCGAGCCCAAACTCGATCGATCGATCGATCCAGCGACAAATGTCGTCGTCTTCGTGATCGAGCGACGTTCGACTGAGCCCTTCGAACTCTTATCAGAGCGGTTCATAATTCGCATTCTCTCGTGGCCAGAGAGGGGTTCACATTAATATTGCTGTTCTGCTGATGGGGCTCTCGGTGAAGAAAAGGGTTGTTACTACCTGGAAACCGGCAGTCCGTCAGCGCGATCTTCAGATCATCTTCTTTCAGATAGGGAAAGAGATGGAGTCCCCGCCCCTGTGTCCTTTCTTCGGCCTGCCCCTGACCCTGCCCCCCTGCACTACTCTCGTCTGCTCTGCTCTACTCTGAGCTCTGCCCAGCTCTGGGTCTGTGCCGAGCTCCGCTCATGCCTCTTCCAATGGACTGAGCTTATGGGGAATGAAGTGGGAGAGGCAGGGGCCTGGCAGGGGTAGCCGAACAGTGCCCCCGGCCAGCCTCAAGCCCAAGCCCAGACTCAAAAACCAGGAGAGGAGCCGAGTCGATAGGAGTGAACAGGGAGTCAGTGTGGGGGGTTGGGAGGTGCTTGTGGGACCCGTCGGGTGCTTGTTTGTTTCTTTCCTCTTCTCGTGATCTTAGAGAATGACTGACCGACGACGTCGCTCATCACTCACTGGATGACTGCGGTTCAAACCTTCTTCGAAACCGCCTCCCCACTCCAAACGTAAGCACCCAACTACCACGAGAGAAAACAAACGCTCCAGGGGCAAAGAATTAAAAGTGGAGACTTTTTTATGGCATAGAATATTAGGCGGTTAACGAGGTCAGCTGGTTTGGGGCCGCAGGCGGTGGTGGAGGTGGATGGGAGGTTTGCACCATCCGGCCCCTCTACCGATCCTTCCCTTCCCTCGCTCTCTAATCAATGCTCGAATGCGAACAACAGCGAGCAGAAGAACGGAAGAATATCTTATCTCCATGTGCATAGCTTGCCAAAATAAGCCCCACCCCCTCCCCCGGGATGCATTAATAAATGTATTGCCCACCGCCCCTCTCTCCCCCTGATGCACCCTGTCTCGACGGCGTGCCGTTGTCTGAGCGAGAGAGAGGGAGAGAAGACGTATTTTCACGTTGGGTGCGTTGAAAACAGTGGAATCGATGTAACTGGTTCCATGATTTTATTAATATCGGCATGGCCGCATCGCGTCGCATCCATCGAGAGAATGCAAACGGGTAGAGAACCTTGTGACAAGCCTGATGAATCCGCTGCTTGATGATATGCGAAGATGCCCCGCCCTCCGCTTTTCTCCATTCCATTCCATTCCTTACCATACCCCATGGCTGTAGGCCCCGAGAATTCACCATGCACGCTCGAATGAAAATATTCGCCCCGCACATTATTTATACACACCTATTTCGGGCACCAGTGCTGACATCCTCCCCAACAGATGCCCGCACTGCGAACTCATGACGCAATGCCGATGAAGTGCTTTCGGAGCTCGCTACAATCGGTTGCGGTTGCGCTGAACTTGGCGCGCCTATCTTTAGATTTCGGCCTCTCTATGATTCCTGATTCCTCATCCCCTCCCCCCCAACGGAGACCCAGAGATCGCCTCTCGCTCTTGTCACCCACCCACCACTGCCGTTCTCTGTGAGAAAAACATTCGTCTGTCGAATAATCGGCCTACGCGATGCGCGAGCGCGAGATCATGCCCGCCTTTTCTTTAATCATTTCCGGTCATGAGAAGCTCGCATTTGGAAGAAAAGACTCTCCCCGGCGATGTGTGAATCTTATTTCCTCCCTCCCCTACCCCTCCTCCCCGCCACGATTCGATACTCGACGAGCGACTTTCTTTATATTTCCTCGATCCCTGTGTCTGTGCTGCTGCTGGTCCCAATCCTGGACTAGAGCCTAGATCGCTTTGCTGACCCCTGTCGCACTCCTAGTCCCTCCCCCTGCCTCTCCTCCTCCCCTCCCCGTATGTTAGTTGACAATCCTCTACATGATATCTCGCTCTACCCCTACCCTCGGTGCCATGACGTATTCCCAGCCCCACACCCCAACCCCCAGCCCCACACCCCACACCCCAGCCCCAACCCCAGCCCCCAAACCCCCAACCCCCAGCCCCCAACGGCCCGTATGATACGGTATGTTCCTCGGCCTACCACTTACTTACGGCAGTGGTCTGGTAGAGTTGGCCGTCGTTGCCGGTTTATTAATGCCCTTCGCAGAGATCTTTTTTTCGCATATTAGTCTAGGCTCTATCCATTATATTCCCACAGACAGAGCATTGACAAGCGGTTTGGTGTAGGCTTGCAACAACAACGAAAACTCATCATAGCGCTCGCTCTTGGTCGAGCCAGAGTCTGCTGCATGTTTCGGTTCCAGTTTAATATCCCGCCTGAAATAAGATGCTTGTATGTTGACTACTTGCATTAGGGAACCATTTTAGCGTGCTGTTATTCGAATGCCCTGAGGTTTTGTTTTATCTTATTCTTCGATTGCGGGCCTTATTATGCTACTTAATATTTTGTCGGTATGGTATTTAATACGGCCGAGACTGATTGAAGTTTTGTCGCACATCGCCCGAAGATCTTAATGTTCGTGATAATTCGATGACGATCCTATCATTTGCCCTACGTACCCTACCGATTGAGAACTGAACAAATTACGGTCAACATGGATCGACTTACAGCATGAACATCTTAATGACATTTATAATCCAAGACCTGATACAAATGTATGTAATAATAAAACGTTTCTGCTTTTTTTTTCTTAATATGGAACCTGAATTACGAATTTCTTGCTGTGATAATTTTTTTCAAAAATAACTTCATTGGAGGTACATAAAACGTATAATACAACTATATTTCTAAAAATGCATGCAGATGAGTTTTAAATAGACTGTCATCTGTATGATTTTGATTTTTATATATTATCATATTTTTATAAATTTGGTTCTACACCTGAACCTTAGTAGCTATGCGTCCTGTCTACAAATGATCGTTATTGTAGATAATATAAACTTATTAAAAAGATATCGCGCTCTAAAGAAATATATTACTCAATAATATCCGTGAGAGTATGTTTTTATATTACAAATGTATTGTAAATTTCAAATTATTAAACGAACTAAAGGTTTTGATATTGTGGCGGTACAAATTGTTCATGGCTTTGGGAATATTGAGACATGTAACTGAGTATGATGAGATTACTGGATTGAGATACTTCCATTGACTGAACTAGATGATTATTTTAAGAGGGATGCATCTTAACAACGGAAAAATATCACTGATAACAAAATTGAAGCAGGCGGAACACTTCAGTAGATATGGATATAGGCTCTTAAAATTAAAGAAAATAGTTATAAATATGTAACGTAATTTATTACGAAGTACTTCATTTAACGAAGCTTTTGTGACTGTACACTAGAGATAAGAATGAAAATAACTGAAATACATTATATCAGAGAAAAATTCATTGAAGGAAAATTTCTCCCACTTTTTTTCTTCCTATTAAAATTTTTTCTCACATAGAAAAATTTCTATATGCAAAATAGTTAAAATAATTCATTCTAAGCATTTCACGCACAGGTGGATGAGCATATGGAAGTAAAAAGAAATACCGACAACGACTTTTTTTAGTAACGATTCAAACCTTCAAGTATTGTGCTCCATGTAAACTAAAACCATTTACTATGTAACTACATTGCAAATATGATAATATCTTTTTCTCAATAGGATATATATTCGATGAACTTTTTCTCATACGCAAGACATCATGTACAAGTATGATGTCTAATTCACACTGTTTCTCATCTTTAACGTATAATAATGTATACTCTCGTGCTCATTAAACTCAAGTTGGACACTCGTCCACTTTACAAACTACAACCTTGAAGGTAAAAACACCATCAGTCTTGAAAGGTGAAACATGGCTAGTCCAAAATTATGGTGAAGAGAATAAAGAAGGAGTGAAATTTGCTGATAGATAAGTCCTAGACTTTCCCCGCAGGAGACAAGCCCGAGACCCATTACCAAACGGTGCATTATAAGTCGCTATCGTTGTCGAGTTCCGAGTTCTTAAATTATGCAGCACGCCATTATAGAAAGTCGTGGACGGTAGAGAGCTCGCTTTTCTCCATAATCGCTCTCGATGGCCAAGACGAGCTGCACAAGCTAGTGCTCGGGCCCTTTCTCTCTGCCCGGACATGTAACGACGTCGCTCGCTCTGGCTTTGACCGCAGCAAAGTGCAAGAGCGAGCGCAAGTCGGGGGAGAGTGGTGAGTGCTGCTGCAAACGACGACGAACGCAACAACAAGTGCTCATGACGAAATCTCACGCGGCCTCGTTATGGTGATGGATGAGATGGATGAGATAGATGAGCTGCAAAAGTGTCCGTGAGTTGGATGCCAATGAACGAGGCGAACGAGCGAGCGAGCCACCGCTGGGCACTCGACTCCATGTTTATGATTGGGGTCCCCAGCTCGACGACCCCAATCCCGCTGGCCACTTTTTGCATGAGATGAGTAAGTGTGCGCTTGCGATGCGTGCTCTCGAGGCACCAGCAGCAGCTGCGGCAGCTGATCGGAGCGAACGAGAGAAGAGTGTAGAACCCAAACCCAGACGGGACGGGACGGGCTCGCTGTTAATTCTCGTCGTTGCGTACGTACGTCGCCGTCGTCGTTGTTGTCTCGAGGTCTGGGCCCCATGGAGCCCCTAATGACGTTGACTGCGGAAGAAAGGAAGGAAAGAAAGACAGACAGAAAGCTTCAGTGGCGACGACGATCGTCGTACGTGAGGCAGGAGAGGGAGGCGGAGAGGGAGGGAGAAAGTTGGGGGCTTGGCTTGGTTGGGTTGGGAGTCGGGACATGAAATCCAGAAGGACGGAGAGTCGGACAGAGGCACTGTGAAAGAGATGGCAGCGGGAGATGGTCAGAATCTGGGATGGGCAAATCGGGAGAGAAAAAGGTCAGCCTCCCCCCGCCTGCCCGGGGACAGGTTTGTCGTGAGGGGAGGCCTAGAGCTACCAGTGGCAGCGCGCACTAACGAAAAGGAGAATCTGCAGCGCAGATTTGATGCTCTCGGTGCGGGTTGCTTCGATTAGTCGAGCATGTTCACCCCCCAGAGCGCAAGTCGAGTTCGGCGGGTTCGTTGGAGTGCGACATGAGCCTGGACATTTTCACTGCTCTCTCTCTCTCTCTCTCTCTCTCTGATATGGTTATCTCTACAGGGCCAGAGGGTTAAAACTTTGCATTTATGGAATTGTAAGCTCCGATCTAGGAGCATGTTAGTCCTCAAGAATTCCTGCCGGGTCAGACGTTCAGCTCGCAGGGCGACGTACAAGACAGATTCTCACCGAAATCTGCACTTTTAACATCTGAGATTCTGATCGTAATCTCCACAGGAACTCCGACTGACCCATCCCACAACCTTCACCTTAATGTGACATACGGCTCCTCGTCTTGAGCCCGGTCCGATCTGACCCGAGCGTATGTTGAGATAATTGTCACCGAGAAACTTGCACTACAGTCGCCCCCCCGTCCTCCCTCCCCGAGCGAGAGCAGCAGTAGCCTTGTCGCTGCATTAGTCTCGATGCCCCCGGCGCCCAATGATCACAGAAGCATCCGCATCCGCATCTAATTTGGAAGCATGTTAGGCATCAACGATACCTGGCGCATCGGCCGTCGTCGACGACGCCTAAATGCGGAATTCTGACGAGCAATTTGTCACCAGTCTGCCTTCGGCGGTCAATGTTTTGATCCTCTCTTATCTGCAACAGGGAAAAGTCAGCCAGTCAGTCTCGCATCTGTTTCATACATCGCCGATCGATTTTATGCTCCTTCTTCTGCTCGACATTATACGTCTCTGTCTCGGCTCGCGTTCATTTCAGCTCCATCTTGGTGAGGTGAGGTGAGATGAGCAGTGACTATTATGACGTTTCACAATGGACTCCTAAATCTCCTCCTTGGCGATATTGCCATAATTGTATCCCTCACAGTGATTCGTTCTCTCCTCTCCTCTCCTCCAACACAGTGATGATGGTCTTTGAATCTCCAAAGGTTCGGCGATCAGATTTGCGATTCAGATGCATTGCCCTGGCATCGAGCTTCCCTTCCCAGCCGCTGCAGACACGTGCACTCGATACATCGGTCTGTACATACGCTCGCTCGCTCTGGGAAACAGTTCGCCCTCGCTGACATGCCACTGGCCACAATCGACGACCTTCGAGTTTGACGGACCCAAGTTTAGAAAGCGCTCGTCCATGCACATTCGAGTCTCCCCAAAAGAGAACGTGCACTTGCGCCCTCAGTCTGCTGATGTCAGTCAGGCCCGAGTCTCTCCATGGAGCCAGTCCTGAGACGTGGACGTGAGGGGCTCTCGAGACCCACCCAGCCGCAGCGATGCGACTGCCGGGCCGAAGTTCTCGGATCGAGACAGACGACTGCGACTACGAGTTGAGGTGGGCTGGGCTCGAATTGGATCGAGATTTCTGTGTTTCCGAATTTCGTCGGTCCGAAGATGGAAACTTCGAATTCCATGGACCTGTAGCATGAACATAGGCGAAGAACGTCCTCCCTCCCTCGAGGCTGGTCACGGAATGTGGCATCGCGTCGTAAAGCATCATAATAAATATTCAAAGATTGATTGGTCTCCTCGAGGAAAAGTGCGGCTCCCGGCGGTTCATCGGTTTCGGAGGCCACAAATCCTGCGGCATTATAAGAACGTGGTGGCTCTCACATTAGGCCTGCGAATGAATGAATGAATGATGCAGCAGCGTCTGCGATCCGATCGCAACCCCGCAATCATGTTGCAGCACTTCTCTTCGGGAAGAACTTTTGAAGATCACGAGTCTCGTACGCACATGACATCACCGGACCTCCTCCAGAAGAAAATGCGAGTCAAACCTCGGGCGTTACACTCGCTGACATCCATGGCAGTCTTTTCGTTCTGTCGCCGGTCGACTATCTCCAGAATTTGTGCTGCAGCTGAGCGGCAGCATCGCAACCATGCCATCGAACAGTACGAAGACCCACAAGCGCGATCGCTCTCGCACTTTCGCACTCGCTCGCTCCTTTTGGTCTTCCATGCTGATGAGCGCAGCAGCAGCAGCTGCTGCTGCTGCTGGAAACCTCGAGCTACGTACATACATGGCTTCTCCGAACAAGTCGGGGCAGCCAAGAAGCCCGATGTGGGCAGACTGAGCGAGTGCGTGATCTTAGGTCGGGCCTTTCGCCTCATTAAAATAGGATCGCCATAATCCGAGTTCGTGCAGTCTGGTGGCTTGCTTTATGTGACGATCGGGCTTTTCGTACGATGTGATTGGAGTGAGTTCTTTCGTTAGATAATCAATTTCAGTTCGTTCGTTCATCAACTTACACTTGCGGAGAAATTCAAGCCGATTCGTAGACCAATCGGGGGAAGTGACGACAGACATAATTCTTCGAGCACACACACACACACGCACGCAAACACCTCCACCTCCACCTCTCGAGCTGCTGAATGGGGCGCTGGTCATCGTTGTCCCTTTCTTCCATTCGCTTTTCTTCGATTCCGTTCCGATCACTTCTCATGGGGTGGGCATCGCCTGCTGCTGGAGCTGTGGCCGACAACCCCTACGGTATCCAGTGGGGATCGATTCGTACATTCCCTCCGAGCGCCCATGTTCGCAGCACCACCGTCTACGTCTGGATTCTGGGTCTACGGTCGAAAAGCTCGACAGTGTCTGCGTGGTCTACATCTCAAATTTCATCTCAGCCATTGGGAGCTGCTGAGCTGCTGACCTTTGACCTAACCAACCACGGGAGGTTAAACTAATCGAATAGCGATCCCGATCTGCGCCAGGTTATCGATGGAAGAGGCAGCAGCGGGCAATCAGATCGAAGAGGGCGGGGGCACGATCTCGAGCCTGAACCACATGACGGAAAGACGACGAAAGGGTCGCAAACTGTACGTTCTATCTGGAAAGCAAGGTGCATATGCTGCATGGGAGACATGGGAGACATTCAAGAGCCGCCTCAGCTGTCTCCATGCGCTGAGATATTTCGATAAGGTCATGTAATCAAGAGATTCCCATGCAGGCCGAGCGCTGCAGGATAGTAAAAGCCAGTGATCGAAGGAAGGAAGGAACGGGAGCGAGAGGGTTTCTTGCTGGGCTATCCATCGTTCGTACTCAATTTGCACCGTCCGCTGTGATGATAGCCCCAGGCAGGGAGGGAGGGAGGGAGGGCCCTATGGATCGAAGGCTACGGGAGGAGCACTCTGTGAATCTGGCTGCTTGCACCGTTCAGCCATGTGTGCGAGGAGGCGAGGGCCTAGACATCATACGAGGCACGAGAGGATGGTAGTTGTACTCATGAGTACGGATCAGATCTCCGTCTGCCGCGTTCTCCTGAGTCGCGGCCTGACTGACGACGAGGCGAGACAGGATTTCTCCGCCGTTGCTGCTTCACACATTTGGTGCGCTTTTGTCTACGATAAAAATAATGGAGAACATGAATGAGCTTTTCTAATCACCAGAGTGGTCGGACAAGGGCGGTGCCCTCCCGTGCATTGGAAGGCGTTTTATGATTGATCGGATTCGGCCTGACAAGCGCCCTCCGGAATCTGACACCATGCTGGCACGCCACATTCCCCTCCGGATCCGAACTATCATCACTTCTCATGGCAATTCCACACTAACCTCATGAACTCGCAAGGCTCCGACTCGACTCGTAGGGAAACATTCGGAAACTGTGACTGAGCTGAGCTCAAGACAAAACCAAACGAGTGCTATGATTGTGTTCAACAAGATATATTTGTCAGGAACATGGGAGGCCTTATCGAGTACACTAACGCCCCTCGTACGAAGCTTTGCTTTGCGCTCGGCCTCGCTCCTCGCAGCCAAACCACCCATGGGTGAAAAAGCTCACCCCACGGCTCTGACGTACGTCGACCCGCCGCTGGCTGGCTCACTCGGCCTCATCGTGGACCTGTCGACTTCCTGATGCGTCCGCCAAACAAAAGATCTAATTTCTCGAGGACGAGACTTCAGTACAGCAGTCACCTCACCTCCTCTACTACTTCTACTACCACTACTCCATCAACATTTTGCCCTCTACAAACACTTTAGAACAACTGTCATTCTATCTTCTTATCCACATTACAACTCCAGAGTCCAGACATCATCAGAGCCAGCAGCATGTTTACAAAACTGCTTAATAATAGACAGCTGAGATGCAAAGCTCACCTCATGCCTCCTCTTTCTCTCTCTCTCTTTTTCTCTCTCTCATATCAAGGTCTTATAACTCATGGCATGGATAAAGGCAGACTTTTCATAAACGTCTCTGCAATGTAGACCATAGCCCCCACCCTTCAGAGCTATTATTATGGACTTGAGAGAAGGAAACAGATTGTCCTGTGCGGCTACCACACCAGATTACATGGCCACAAGATACGAGAAAGCCTCAGCCTAGCCTCGGTTGGTGTGTACACCCTACGCAAACCTAGCGCTAGCGACATGGCCTTCCTTAGCTGCGCCTTTTCATCTCCCTCTCAGCAAGGTCACCAAGTGGCGAGCTGGTTGCAGCATTTTAGCATTTTAGCATTTTACCACTTCCTCTGTCCGTCAGGCAGTCGGGTACAGCAGAAGGCGTTCTTTTGTGACGAGATTTGTGCGTACATGGCAAGACCTGGTCGATGTCCAGACCGGGTTGTATTTCGAGCACGGGCCTACGACGAGCAAAAGGTTTCTTTCTGTGCAGGAAAAGAAGGTTCGATGGCTGCTCTTCACGGCTGATGAACGAATGGTCCGCATCCTGTACCAGGCTGCGCTCCCGGTGTCGTGACGGGACCGAGTACTCGGAGCGATGGGGCCTGAGAATCTTTGAACCTGCGAGCGAGGCTTACGGAGTGCTCGTTTGCGCAGAGTGAGGGAAAGATCGCAGAGAGAATGTTGGCACTGGCTCGCTTTGGGGCCTGGGCTGTCGCCTCCCCGGGCGTCGTGGTTGCCAAGAAAATGTCCAAGTCGACGTCGAAGTCGAGCGGCAAAGCTTCCGGAGCTGCTGCTGCTGCTGCTGCTGCCTCGGTTGCCAAGAGTTCCATTCCTGCTTCCATCAGGTAAGCCATTATGATGCGAGGATGTGTGTCCAAGCCTCGCCTTGAAGGCAACGGTGGAATTTCGTGATTTCACTCGATGGTGGATGACGTCGAGGGGAGCGCCGCAGATGTGCTAGGGCTAGAATGAATGAACGTCTGAATGCTGACCTACTCGAGAAATTCAAATTTCATGATATCACGAACGCTATATATTTTGTATATTGTTTGGAGGATGAGATCTGCCTCGATCAAGCTAGACCAGCAGTCGTTGGAATTGATTCGAGGTTCTTGTGCTAGTGCAGATCGCGGCCAGATGCCTCTGTGTCCATCTCTGTACACGCGAAGCCCGGTTCCAAGTCATCCGGAATCACCGGTCTCTACCTCAGCCCCTCTTTTGTTCAGTTGTCTCTTTGTGTCTGACTGTAAGAGCTACGTTTGCCATGGAATAACGGAAATGTTCAATCTCTGTGTCTGTAGGCTGGAAAGAAGAAATTGTGTTCAGGTTCTGTGTAAGCTACGTTCTAAGTTAGAGGCCATGATCAGCTCTGGGCTTGCCGTCCCTGAGCAGCTTTTTAATGCAGGATAGATCAAGCTGCGACAGCGACCAGTGAGAAACAAATTGGAAGATGTGGGCAATTTCAAGGTAGATTTTATCCGTCTGTCACAGCCTGTCGAACTTATGGAAAATTGTATCTTGTCTCTCGGCTTCGCAGATGTAGGAGAAGAGAGAGTAGGAGTGCAGATCGATGCCCCCGCGAGGGATGGCGAAGCAAATGAGGCTCTTCTCGGGTTCATGGCCGAGGTAAACCGATTCGCTCGACACTGTCTTTGTCGGATGCAGTTTGTCTGATTCTCTTAGCTTTACATCGTACGTCGAGTGACGTCAGGGGTCGGGATATTTCAGTGCTCGAAAGTTTCTCGTCGCAATCCTGAATTGAAAACACACCCGAAAAGAAGGAGACCTTTAAGGGTTTTCCGGATGGTATATGGATTGTTTTGAGAGGTAAAAGAGCGTTGGTTCATCAGCCACTTACGCAAGCTTAGGATCCAGGACCAGAAAAGCGGACGTACCGCTTTTGGAATCTAAAGTACCCGTATATCATTGCTAACCAACGTGGATCTTCCATGGCTTGCTGTTACGAAATGGAAAGTAGATAAAAAGAATCGCTTTGCTAGGTCGGGACAGTGGCTGATGCAGTCAGTCATAGCTTCAGGTACTCGGTGTAAGGAAGCGAGAAGTCTCTTTAAGCGCAGGAGCTCGGTCTAGGGAAAAAGTGGTCATAGTTCAAGGCATGTCTGCAGAGGACGTGTACAGCGTTCTGAAAGCTGCTGCCAACAAGTAGATTCTCAAAAGTAGATTTACAACTTGTTGAGCGGCACATGGAGCCCACAACGATGTGATGGAACGAATCCTCGCCCAATTAGATTGCTGTTTAGGTGTTTTTCTGCATAGATGGGAATAGGTGCGGTCAGTCGTTGAGTCCGAAGCTGTTTGTCGTAATCTGCTGCGAGACGAGCGGTTTCTGTACATGCCTCAGAAAGAAGAGCATGGACGGTCAGAGGAAGAACGGTGAATACCTTAATTAATGTTCGGGCACATGAGCTACGTTGAGCTAATATCTAGATACGAGACGCTTGTCTCGACAAGTCGAATCTACGGGGAACAGAATCGAAGCTGGTCCGACTATAAACAACGAACGAGGTTGGTTAGCATTACTGTGGGTCCATGTGTTTCACCCCGTCATGATTATGTCTGAGAGGAAGTGAGTGAAAGATGACATATGACAGATGTTTCTCAAGTGAAGTCCGTGCTTCTGTGAACGTGAACTGACCTTATATTGCCCTCACACTTCACGAACTTGAAACGCTTTTTTGCTTCAGTATACTGTATTTGTCCGTTTCAGCTTAGTTTTGTCGATTGAAAGGACGGATGTACTCGTTTCTAGTCAGTGAAAGCTACGCCCGAAATGAGGAAGAGATGGAACATGGGCGTCTGATAACACAGCGCGCCATTTCGATTTGGTATAAATTCCGAGACCAGACAACATCCCCAGCTCTAACCACCTTATGAATGGTCGTAAGATTTCACATCGACACAGATCTTCAGTCGTGGAACTCGGGGACTTTTTAGCTGTTTTGACTAGCAATTATCTTCATGACGAAGAAGCAGTCTATCTGAAATCTAAGCTTCAACGGAGCTCTTCGCAGCAGACAATGTTTTTCACCGCTACATTCCAGAGAAGAGGATGTGGCGATTGGAAGAATCAATGATCTTTACTGGAAGGACTTAGAAAAGTTGGAGACTCGTTGATGTCCGACTCGCACTAAAGTAAACCGGAATGTGAACAAGCTTCAGGTTTATGACAGTCCCGCAGCCGAATGCCCCATGTACATTGGGAGCAACAAAAGTAGGCAAAGAGAGTGTGAGCTTACATATCAATCGGGAATTGCACCTCGTGTCGTGACGTAACTACTGTTACTCAACATCGAGATCTCTGCCTTATCTTCCCTAGAGTTAGAAGAACCTTAAGAATATTAAGAAAGCCCCTAACAGGCTTTTCTGCATTGTGGTGACTTGGCTTGCAACAAATTTCTGCAGTGGCAGAGTTCACGATCAGCTGTAACAGTCGCTGGGTGAATCACCTTAATACATTTAGCATATGTCCGTTTCTTTGTTTCGGAGGATCTTATGATGTTTTAGTCACATCATGAAACTTAACTAAAGGTCTTCAAATTCCTCTCAACGGAAAGAGTCGAATTTCGAAGTCTTTGACATTTGTGAGTGCCCGGGTTTACGAGAATCTGAACTGGTGTTTCACGTTATCGTGAAACACCAATTTGTAGTCGTTATGTTAAGATTTTGTTGCAATGAGCTGGAGGCATTGCACATCGCAATATAAGACTGTATGTGAATGGAAGGAGGGAATATGATTGAGTATGACTACTATCTTTCGTGAATCACTCAATAGCAAAAGTTTTTGGCTGATCCCTTAGCTACCACAGGCAAGCAAGGGTAAGAGAGGACACATTAAATCATCAACAGGCATCTAAAATCATGAATTTAAAGCCTGAAGAAACACCATTAGAAGCCAGAACCACCAAACTTGTATATTTCAATGCGTCCTTTCTTAGCGCCGTCGGAAATCAATTGTGTTAAGCTTCGTAAAACCAATCCTTAACTTTAAGTTTTGAGTTCAGAGCAGAAACGAATTGGAAACTGAGTGATTTTCTGGAAAGTGTTGCAGATGAATTCATAATTTTTGTACACGCAGAAACTCCTCATTGTAGTAATGTATGGAAAGAACAAGGTTGAGACATACAGACTTTGCCGGTGACATACAATTTCAAGTAAGATATATGATTGAAATTGTAATACGAACATGTTTCAAAATTAATCTAATTAGACAAAAAGCCATCTATCAGATTGAGGATGATATTAAATCTTATAAAATAATTTAATAAATATATTTTTTATTTAAAAATCGAAATATTGAATCTCAAAGGTCCTTTCAAATAGGCAGGTAATACGGGCAAAATTCTTACTTCTCCATTATAATTGGTATATAGACCAATCCCATGATACCCAACATGTCAAATGGTTGCAACTTATCGTAAAACAAAAAAGACACATCGTAAAACACGAACAAAAAAAACTATACTAAAGATCAACTCTAGCTAGTGCCAAGAACATTAGGATTATAACTAATGATGTCCCTAATATAACAACCTAAATCAAAATACATTATCTATAATTAAGAATATAAATTATCCACATCTATACTATAGTCAAGTCTAATCGCTTTATAACTAAGACAAATAAATAATACATCATCTTCATATTCAATAGATACACCGTCATATAAACCACAAATACGTTCACTCTTATCAATATTAAACCAACTCATTTTCTCATGAACGTTGGTTTAATATTTTGACGTCCATGAGATTTAGTTTTGTGCCTAGCAATAATATGACGTGAGGATGTGAAGATTCGTGCAAGTAGTATTCTTGTTCACTTGTCAAAAGCATAAGATTCACATAAAGTTGATGAAATTGCTATTTGATGACTCTTCTGCGCCAAATAATGTTGATGACTTGCTCCTTTAAACACTCGTAGAGTTCCATAGGTTAGAAGTCCCAATCAAAAATCATATCACCACATCTACTAACCATTCCTTGGAACATGTGGCACACAGCTTGAAGAGTAAAACAAAAGCATCCAAAAATCTCATCCTTCTAATGTAAGTGATCATCAAGCAAAAAGCTTCAAACTTTAAAGCTATACAACATGTTTCTGCAAGAAGAATAGCATATGGAAATTGATTCTTACATCCAATTCTTCTTATTGAAATATCTTTTGCATCCTCTCCATTAGTTTCCAACCTATGTTCTTACAACCAAGATCCTACACATGGATCCCATATAAGACTACCGGCAACATTAAGCTCTTGAATAAAAATCTCCTCAAATTTATTTCCTCAGATTTCAAGACATTATGCAAGCTCTTCTACATCGATTAAATTATGGATATAGAGCTTTGTAATCAGCTTTTACTCTCTTTTGCACACAAAGTGTTCAACTATAATCATTAGAAAAATCAATGCATAGATATTTATAACTCTTCGTTTCTTATAATTGAAGATTTTTATTTAAGTAAAACTTCGATCTAGTGCCTACTATCATGACTTTAGACTTCCCTATATTTACCTCCATGTCAATTTGAGTACAAAATTTAGTCAAAGTGTCTAGGTCTTTTGTAAGCTAGTGGCATCACTTGCTAGTAATATAATATCATATGCATACAATAGAGCCTTGATGACAAAGTATTCAAGCTTGACACCTTTAATATCACATTCCTCCAAACATTCTTTGATATCATCTATGAAAAATTCAAATAGAGTAGTACATAGTACAATTTTGAATGATTTTAATGATAATCAAAATTTCTTCAGTTTAAAAAATGTTGATCTCGCGCTAAACAGAGAGCTCCAAACAGAATGGTGTAATATGTTCATGGCTGCTAGCAGATCTAATGATACTCTAATGGCTTACAACCTTTCTCATATGAGCTCACGGAGTACGGTGTTAAAAGCTTTTTTGAAATTGATAAAGGCGCAAAACAAAGTTGTTTCAGTGCTCTTAGATTTCTCCAAAACAAACACGCAAGACCAAAATATGATCAATAATGTTGTATATATGGCAAAAACCTCCTTAAAACCATGTATATTTTGTTGAGGTTCACTCTATGTGTTCAACTTTGACTCCATCAATTTGCCAAACAACTTGGAAAAAACACAATTCATCATGATAGTGCAATAGTTTGCCTCATTTCCTTCCTGAATTGTGAATAAGAATAATCTTACACAGAGATCAGGTTGAAGGAAAATCATAAATAACAACATTCTTTAACACTTTAGTGAAAATCGGTTTGATCTTTTTTCCACTTGAAAAGTTTGGTAAAAATATTATTCAAATACTCACATTTATCATTTTCTAAATTTTTGGATGAATCATCACCTTTGCTTCAAAAAACAAGCCGAATATACTTCACAACGTGGCATTGATGCAACACAAAAAATAAATAAAGATTTTTAGCAAAAAAATCAAAGACTGAGGATCAAGAGTAAGTTAAAAAAGCTCATCTGCTTACAGTCTTTTGAAATATTTGGAATCCTTCATCACCTCCTTTGTAAAGAACTCTTGCTTACTCCTTAAAAAATACTTGTTTCTTAAACTTCACCAAGTCTTTGTAAAACCTTGCTATAATAATCTGACTTTGGAGATCCAAAGATTTATCAACGGATTTCACGCTTGCTTGCACTCAAAGTCAAACCATCCATTTCAAGGTAGATTTTTACATCTCCGGTCTTTATGTCGCAAAAAGAACTTAGAAACAATGTTTTTGAGCAACTTGGTTATTTGCAAACTTGGTGTATGTGGATCAACACTCCATATAGTGTGAGTCAAAAGGTCTTGTAAATATATCATATAAAGGTACTTCTTACTAGGATTTGAGCAAAATTTGAAAAAGCTGGAATAGAATGTTATGTTGAGAGAAATTAACTTTCACAATAGAGAGTAAATAAATTGCATGATGTAATTCTGGTTGAGCTTCTAGATTATCAAATGGAAAGATTAGAGAGCCACTAGTGGCCAAGAAAAAAAGATAATTAATAGTGCTAACACAATTTTGATTGAGGAAAAACAATTATTTGAGTGAGACTTGAAAAAGAGATATTTTCATTAAGAATTTTTGAATTACATGTGGCTCTGAAAGTTAGAAAACATTTATAAAAGTCTTTCTAGAAGTATTAGAAAAGCATCTAGATCACAAATTATTCTCAAGTTCTTCAAAATAAAAGAAGTCAAGTAATCACCAAATTGTGCAGAAATATGCAAGCATTGAAATCCACAACAAGAAAAAAATTTATCTTGCATATAATGTTTGAAAACATACTATATGAGTCGATGAAATGATAGACTTTGATTGCAAGTGCGGGTAGAGTAGATGGATAAAATTGATGCAAAATAATGAAATGCTAAATAACTATAAGATACTTCAACCAATCCAAGATGAAATCAATAATATTGATTTCCAATATCTTTATCTTCTAAATGTATTAGGGATAAAAATTGGGACATGATAAAAGAAACAATATTGTCATGACAACTTTTGCTGGTTGACTTTTATGATTCCAAGTGAATCCATTAAAAGTAAATCCTTGTATCTTTCCAAAAGTATTGTTCATGTTTCCAAGTCCCCACAATGTTGATGATGTTGATGATGTCCGACATCGTCCAAATCGAATGAACATTCACATATTTTGTTGTATACTACCTCTTACTTTTCACATCAACACCCTCAAACTCTTGGATAGCTAGATTGATGACTGTCTTTTATACAAATTAACATTTACTTGACCATCACATAGATAAGCAAAAAATCTTGCTTTTTGAGCTTCTTTGACTTTTGTAACCTACTTTCTCCTTGCTTCAACTTGTAGAGGCATAACATTTGAATTCAACCAAATCCTTTATTCTTAGAGACAGATCTTGTTAGCTTTAGCAGTATCACGTTGAGTTTAATCCACAAACTTAACTATAATGGCACAAGGTTGGGTTACTTTGTTTTCAATGCAGAAAATTTGAGCCAAATCTAAAGTATGAACATGAAGTGTTTCAGCCAAGAAGTTGATTGCAACACTCTTTAATCCTTCATTCCTCGTTTCAGGTAAAACTACAATTTTCACATTCTTTCAAGGAGCAAATTGATTTGACTTTTTAATCTCTTGCTCTTGATAGAAAAATATGAACAGCCTTTGTAGCTTCAGCATAAAATTTCATTTTGAATTCTAAATTTTCATCCATCTTATACAATCCAAATTTTCATGCATCTTATGTAATACTAAACCCTAAACCCTAAACCCTGCTATCGGAAGAAATTTCTTGAGAACATAACTTCTCTTGAATATACTCAACAAATCTAAATATATCAAACATCATAGAATTGAAATCTTCACACGTACTCTCCACATACTATTTTGACCTCTTTAATTATCATATTTGCATGTGTGCAAGGATCAACGTAGCCGTTTGTACCTTGAATTCAATTCAAAGCTCTTTTCATTCTTCCAAGATCTTTTGCATAGGATTTAGGATTTGATCTTGAGTAGTCATCATGTAACCAACTTTAAATAATGTGTAATTTTGTTGAGAACAAAATTCTGCAAGCTAGTGCGTCTTGTTAACTTCACGTTTTCATAAAATTTCAACTTCAATTGACCCTTCAATCCAAAGATATGACCATCGCAATATTCAATCCTCCTTTACCTAAAACTCAAAACTTGAAAATGACTCAACTCCGCGAGTCTGAACTTTTGTAGTCTAGTAAAACTTGCCCAACTTCAATCCTCAATGAAGTTTCACATTTAGTTGGAAGATATGGCCTTCCATTTTTGCCTTGCAAAACTCAAATCTCAGAAATAATTCAACTTTGTTTGTGGAACAAATGATGTGATTCATCAAATGTTGATTTTCTTGAAGTTGTATGCACTAAAATTTTGAAAATCTCAAAAAATACATTTAAAAAAGTATTTTAATATCAAACAACATACTTTTAAAAAACTATATTGTTGTAGATTTTTTAATAAAATGAATTCAATAAATTTGCTTATATCTTAGTTATGACTTTCATAACTAGTTTGATTATATATTCTTAGTGAAACAATTATACCAACGACATATTGTTAGGTATAATATTTTAAATGGAATACTTGATGACTTTTTTATTTATATTCAATTAAAATATTTTATATTTACATTAATTATCATTGTATTAGAGAATACTTTCAAAACTAACTCCCAATCAATTTTAAAATAATGTTATAATAATAACTTGTTTCATTTATAATTGATTGTTCATGATTGTTGGCATGAAATGATGAGCAGAAAAGTTAGACAAAGGTATGTTTGTATCAATAATACATGATGGTATTATCACACTTAAAGTTTATCTTGAATTTTAAAATTTGACAAGGAGAATGTTTTAGATTTCATAAGATATATATATATATATATATATATATATATTTATAACTAAATTGTAGATTCATCAAGAACTCATAATTCGTATAAAATATCATAAATCAATTATGTTTAAATATATCATCAAAAGATAACATATTTAATACTTTAAATAATATTTTTTTGTTTTTATCATGAAAAGTATATACACAATAATGTTACTTGTTGAAAAAAAATTTATTCAGATTTCAAATTATTTTTTCCCATTAAATTTAAAATAAAATATTTCTGTGTTTTTTGTATATTCAAATATTTCATATTATTTTTTTATCAAATATTTTTATGAGAAAAAATTTCAAAGAATGTAAATTAAAACATTGAAACTCAATGAAAGTATCTTTGTTATACAAAAATTTTAAACTAGAAATTATTTTATGTTCACAATTAATTTAATCCATCATGCTTTGGCTATGATTTAATTTTAATTTACAAAAAATATAATTTTTCTATTTATTTAGAGATTTTATAGCTAAAAATTTCAAGCCACAAGTCAAAAATATATTGTTGGAAGTTAAGATGTTCATATTTTCTCATAATGTTAATTAAATCTAATTGCAATATAATTTCTTCTTATATGTGAAGATAATAATTTTAATTAGAGCAAACAATTTTTTATTTTCATCAACTCTATAGTTATTTATATCCTCTAAAAACATAATGTTACTCACATTCATAGTGAATTTGATTATCAAATGCAACTATATCAACATCTTTATTTCTATGTGTATCTATCTCTTCTTATATATTTTAAATACCATATATACAAAAGAAAATTTAATAATTAAAGCCTCACCGCCATTGTCCATATCTTAGTTTTCCATGATAAAATTCTCATAATTGATCTTGGTTCTTATCTTACATCATTGACATAAATTTCTGTCATGAGAAGCAAATCATTATTGATATTGTAACGATACATTTTTTTTTGATGTGATAGATGCACAAAGATCTATTTGTTCATCAATATCATGCCTCTTGCGGACTCTCCGTTTGGAGTGTGCCCAATAGTTCAAATGCAAACAAGATCAAATGTAACGAATGGAATGATATATCTTGCTCACAACCGGTAGACCTCCAATTTAAATATCCCATGGAATTTGAGGATTTGAGTGGAAAGATGAGTGCTGAGACTTCAATTGAATTTACATTTATGGTCATTTAGTACAGTGGATCGGATTAAGAACGGCTGAAGTTGCTAGTTGCTTTCAACTCCAGTATAGGGGAGGGATAATCAATACCACTAAAACAGATAGTACAGTTGTAAATGCTTCAGTTTGGGAAACGAGTACGTAACTGCCCATGAAGTGTTCGGGCACGTCTTGTAATGTTCTTTGGTATACAAAATTCTTCAGTATTTCGCCACAAAGTGTTTTCCAATACTTCTAGCCAACATTCTTCTAGCTACAGAGGATGAAGAACCACTTATAACAAACCACAATTACACATAATAATAAATCGCAATTCAAAGTCGCTGAAATCTTATTCATTTCCTTCATATCACAATGAAATCTCCAGACTCGCTTACAGTACAAAAGTCTTTGCAAAAATTTGCTTTGCTGAGCCCTAAGTGATGCTCCATCGATTTGATTCTTGTTACTTTTCTACCCTACTCTTGAAAAATGAACTGTCAACGACAACAGATTGGATCCGTCTTACTGGTTAATTAAAAAAACATGGAGAATGATTCTTCGAGCGCTGTAGTGCTGAGAGGAAAACAGAGCGAGCTCCACGGTTGACTTCACATTTTACATCAGCGAAGGCGTAGTCTGTACAGGGACGGGCTGTATAAAATTTCGATATACTGTATGGCGACATCGCTCTCCTGTACAGCGGAAGACCGCTCTTGCATGTCGAGAGTAGGTGCACGACCATCGCAAATGACACGGTCAGCACGTGGTCGCGTGTGGCGTATTTGTTGTCGTCGCAAGGTTCAACTGATATTCATCGTGCTCCAATCGCGGAGACGAGACGACTCTTGCCTCAATCCTCTCCCAGGTCTCGAACATGCAAGCATGCCTTGGCGAGAGAGTTCGGTGGTTTCTCGCACCGAACAATCCCCGATGTCCAATTGGCCATCCGGCAGCGGCCCTTGAATTTCTCCCACCTCGAATTTCTCGCCGACACAATCCATGCGAGCGGTACGACCGGGAGCAGAGTCGCGTCATCTGATTTCTACCTTCGTGAAGATGGAGTCACTGACAATTCGTAGCCTAGTCATTGCTGTCAGACGTTCCTACTCGGGTGCGATCGATTGGAACGACAGTGATGGTTCGATTTGACTGCGGCGCAGCGGAAGTACTTTCGACCTCACAATCGCTTGGTGCCTTCACGTTCAAGACATTGAGCTAAGTGGAATTAAGGTGGGATGAAGAGCAGCCACGAGACAAAGGGGGACGAATTTCTTTCTGTCAGTACGTCATGCAGTGGACCGACAAGTGCAAGCGATGCAGTTACGCGCTTCATGCGAGTGTTGACCAACAGTTCAAAACAACAAAGATTCGAGACTGTTCCATGGCAGTTGATGAAGAGACAGGTAAAGTTGATGAATATATTCAATTGATAGTTGTTGGTTCAGGGATTAGCGACCTCCTAATAAGGTGACGCGTGCACTCCCAAATGAACGCACGTCCTTCTCGTGAGGCGAAGCTACAGCATGCCTGATATGTGAGAATATTTTAAGGGAATAGATACAGGAAGGAGTAAATTATGAATAGAAGTGTAATCGTTCCCCGCATTTAGCAACAAGCTCGGAGACGGGGCTCTACAACGTTACAGGACTATTCTTCTGGCCCGTCACGATGTTGCAAACCTCGGCAATCGAACTCGTTATGCATCAAATTGATCCACATACATGGAAAAGAATCCAAGTAAATTTACAGGTCTGGGCACATGTGTTGTTGCTTCCAACTAATTTGTGGCTACACTACAGAAAAAACCTCTTCTCTTCATCATCCTGATTCTCCTCCTCATCTTCGTCTTCTTCTTAGTCCGTGGCAGCTGCTTTAGACTCCCGGACCTCGAGGGTTCCTGGATTAGTCTCAAGCCACGCACTTGCCACAATCTGATGTTAACGGCCTACCTACATGCCAGACACAACAAATGCAAATAGAATGCCTGTATTTTGACATTCGCTGTCTGCCACCATCTGTCAGACAGCAGTTTAACCAACCCCAGCTCTATGCCGGCTCGTCGTCCCGTTCCATGACCGGAGCCCCAGCAGCACCAGCAGCGCTCCAGCTCCAGGCCGTCCATGTCGTAGGCAGAGAATAACCTAATCGACCATCCAACCACCGTTCCTTCTATTTCGATTTCTCTGGCCTAGCCAGTCAATATGCCCTTCTAGGCCAGAGAGTCATGGACTACCATTTCCTACTACCCTCCTTTTCCAACCCCGCCCGCCCACCCCCCAAGCATCAACACGGAAGTATTTCACACCACTAAATCATATAAGCAACGAGTTATGATAAATATGAATGAATCATTGTTCATGTCAGAAGAGGAACAACTGAAACCACTCTCGATTTGCACTCCTGTTCCCAACCCCACATCTTTGCCTTGGAAGCTCCTACACAGCATCATCTCATTCCCGGAGTATTTCACACTCGCATCGAGTGAAATGCCTGGCTTCACTGGGGATGGAACAGGAGACAGAGGGCACGACAAATGGAAGGATCATCGCTCCATGAAGATATCGACTATCTCCAATCTCTCTTTACCTTCCTTGAGGGTTCACCAGCTGAGAAAACACAGCGCTGGCTGTCGCATCCTCTGACTCCTCCTCACTGTCAATGCTGTGGTTGGTCGTCGTAAGATCTGCTTCCTCGGGCTCCGGTGTTCTTAAGGGCCTGAGTTCGATACTGTGGTTGGTGCTTCCCTCCATCAACCGGTTCTCCATCGAGTTTTCTTGTAGTTGCAAAGCGTACTCCAGATTCCACAGCACGTCTCCCATCGCCGGCCTGTCGATTCCCTGCTCGGCCAGACATTTCTCGGCCGTCTCTCCGAACTTCCTCAGAGACTCGGGATTGATGTATCCGACCAGCTTGGGGTCGATGATTTGCTCCAACATGCCCATCTTCTGCCACTGCATTGCCCACTCTGCGATGTTCACCTGCTCCCTGGGAAGAGCAGGGTTAATGGCCGGCCTCGCGCACACCACCTCCATGAGCACCACTCCGAACGAGTACACATCGCTCTTCTCGGTCAGCTGCTGCCTTCGGAAATACTCAGGATCGAGGTACCCGAAGCTTCCCTTCACGGCTGTGCTAACGTGGGTGCGGTCCAGGCTTGGTCCAGTTTTGGACAGACCGAAATCGGCCACCTTCGCCACGAAGTTCTCATCCAGAAGAATGTTGGTCGTTTTCACATCGCGATGGATGATGCCCTGAGCAGCGCCGGTGTGCAGGTAGTGCAATCCTCGCGCAGCCCCGATACAGATTTCCAGGCGTTGCTTCCAGGTCAGGGGAGGCAGGTCGGTGCCATAGAGATGCCCCCGCAGAGGCCCATTCGCCATGTAATCGTAGACGAGGATCATCTCGCAATGCTCCTCGCAGTACCCGATCAGGGACACCAAATGGCGATGTCGCAACTTGGACAGGAGCTCGATCTCGGTCTGGAACTCGGTCAGTCCTTGCTCTGAGCGAGGGTTCCCTCTCTTGACGGCCACCTTCACGCCATCGTCGATTTCAGCCTTGTACACCTTCCCGAACCCTCCAACTCCCAGCAGCAGCTCCTCGTCGAAGTTGTTCGTCCCCTCCTGGAGCTCGGCGAACGTGAAGTAGCGGCCCAGATTCGAGGCCGCAGACGAGACGTAGCTCCCTGTGCCGCTCTTGTGCGAAGCCGTGGTGGATATCTTACTCGCAGTGCTCTCGGAATTTCCTCCGTGGAGAGGCAAGGGCAACCAGGCGGGAGACGATTGCTTCTTGACACCTCCCTTGGCCGGCGCACAGCAGAAGAAGAAAATCGCGCCGAGGATCGCCATCAATGCCACACCACCACCCACGGCAGCTCCGATGATGGTACCGATGTTGCTACTCTTGCCGCCGCCGCTGTCGCTGGCCAGCGGAATGTGGATGGCGGTTCCGGCCAAGCTGCTGTTCGTGTTGTTGATCTTGAAGATCTCCAACCCATTCAAGATGCAATCCGCGAACTGGCTCGAATCCTTGGCCGGCCCGATCTGGACCCACAATTTGTCGACGGTGAAATCGTACATGGTGAGGACGTAGTCCAGAAACACGGCAGTCTCGGGATTCCCACCGCCGTATGCGACGACATCGAAGAAAGGGAAGGCCGACCCATTGTTCAGGAAGACATTGAAAACTCTCTGGCCGATGGAGTTATGCTGGAGTTCGGCGAAATGGAGACGAACGTAGTAGGCATAGCCTGGATCGATGTCGAAAATCCAGGTGATATTGGCTAGCGCCGCGGCCACACCGCTGGTGCCGAGAACTCGAGCAGTGGCGTACACACTGGCGGGGGCCATCCACCTCGGCACATCGTTCGGGTACACGATGAGGTTCGGAGCCACGGGCGAGAGGGCCACTCCCTGCGCTGCTCCGTAGAGGTACTTCTGATCTCCCTCCCACTGTCGAGTGAGGAACGAATCGTTCGAGGGCGAGACGGTTCCGCCTCCGACATTCAGCCTGTACATGGTTTCCACGCCGTTGTTGTCCATGCTGAACGTGACCGCCTGCTTGGGCACGAGGTAGACATTGCTCGGGAGCAAAGTGGCAGGAGCCGAAACGACCGCCAAGCCATTGACGTAGGCAAACTTGTCGAGAGCTGCGGGGATGAAGGTCAATGTCAATATGTTCGTCTTCGCCTGGATCATGTACTCCTTGTAGATAAAGACGCCGTCCGTCTGCGTGAGATTCATCAGAAGAGTGTACTCGTTGGCTGTCACAGAGAAGAGGCCATTGCTGGGCTTGTAGGTCTGGTAGGTCACGGGGTAGAACCACAGCCGAATCCACACATTTCCGGGGACGACAGGAATCTTGTAGGCCGACTGCCCTGCGAAGATACGCGCTGTGTTCAACAAATCCGGGTAGGGATTGTTGTCGTTGTTCGTGGGAACGCTGTTCGTGGCGAGAATGCCCTCGGAGATGTAACCAGTGGTATCGGTGAGGAAGAGCCCCACGTTGGGTACCGAGGCATTGCTTGTCCCACCACAATTGATCCACACATTCGTTGCGGGAATGAACGAGGCAGTGTCGTTAGTCTGTACAGTGGAGCTCGCTTGACCATCTACCACGCCGACTGACAGCAGCCATACGCTAGCTAAGCTTACAACTGTGTACAGACTAAACAGCTTACCACTCCCATTGACCTCCCTCCTCAGGCCCGTGCCTGCCATCCTCGGCTTCTTGGACCCTAATCCGACCAAACAAGACGAACGCCTCATTCTGTAGTGTATCCTCCAGCCGCTTTTCCAATTTCACGCCTTCTCGAAGCAGTCGATGCTGGAAATCGACTACTCAGGCTTCGATCCGCCACTGTCCGCTTCACTCCACTCCACTCCACTCCACGCTGGCTTGACAACCGTCCTCCCACTCGGCTGCGGCTGCTGCTAGGTGGAACTCCGACCTCTCCTGCTGCTGCTGCTCCTGGTCGCCCTTCCTCCTTGGGCTCTCATGGCCATGGAAGAAGAATCACCTCGAACTTTACATCCCGTCCTCCTCATCTCTCATCATGGATCTCATTCACTCTCCTCTCTCAAAGTCTCACTCTCTCTCGCTCACACACACACACACAAACACTCGCTCAATCACTCTCACTCTCTCTCCAAAGCAGTCAATCCAGGTCTATCTGCGCTGAAACTCACTGCTGCTACCCTTTTTCCACCCACTATCTATGTCTCAAAAGAAGAGTCCAATGCGAGAGGCAATTGCTTCCTGCGATGCGAAGCTCTTTCTTCAGTCGATCAATCGAAAGATCAGATCGGTCGGAGGGGCCAGCTTCGTCTCTCTTCGCCGGATGTATAGCTGACGACTTTATCTGAGGCGATGTGCTGTGATTGAGTTATCTCCCCCTCACCGCCCTACGCCTCCAGCTGCTGCGTCTCTTCCTTCCGAACCGTATCAGTCACTCGATCCATCGACATTGACACTCGTTCTGTACTCCGCCTCCTCCAAACAGCAAAGAAGGAGCTCCTCGAACGCTCTACCTCTTCTTACTTCTCCTCCTCCTCCCCCCCTCCGTCACTCTCTTTCAGTCTTCACTTCGCACCCACCGCTAACGTCCCTTACCCCCGCCCTCCCCCGACCTGCTGCTCTCCACTCTCCACTCTCTACTGTACCCCCTCGCCGGGTCGGGATAGATAGTGCGCATACGTGCGCTCCCCGGCCGGCCGGCCGGGCAGCATCCAGGCCTCCTCGTCTTCTTACCCGGGATACCGGGATCAGCCCCAGCCCCTCCCCTTCTCCCAGGCTCGGCGTAGGCACGGGTGGCTCACGACGCGCTTGGCGGCAAGCTGGCCGCGATCGCCGCGCGCGGTCCCGCCGGCGCCTGTTCACTCGTTCCCGAGCTTTTAACTCGGGCTCCATGAACTCGGTTCAATCGCGCGACGACGGGCAAGTCGCGACTTTGCGACTCGGGATCCCTCCAATCGTCTGCCAGGTTTCTGCTGTCAGCGCAAGTTCGGGAGCCCCGCCGGCCCGACGGCGACTCCCGATTCGCCCGAAGCGCATGCCCCGCGCGACGATGGCCAGGCGTCGCGCCCCAGCGGGTCGGGGGAGGGCTCACATGGGTGCAGTTCTTACTCCTATCTTTGGCCCTCTTACCCCGTACGGCCAGTGTCAACGGTAAGAAAAGCCTCGCGCGACGCAGTTACCACGTAATGGCACCCGCCGAACGGACTGACTACTCACGGATAGTCTTCTGTGGCACCGACCGACCGTATGGGGCCAGGCTGTGGGCAGCCTGGCGCCCATCTCGGCCTCTGGATCTGCATCCAATCGACGGTCGCTTCGCAGACTGCGATTAAAGAATAATAGCGTCGCTTGTGAATATCATGGGGATGACATGCTCCCGCGGGGCGAGATATTAGTTTTCAATCCGTTGTAGCCATTTAGTTTGTTGAGGGCTCGAACTGAGGCTGCGAATCCTCGATGGCCCCTTATATTTAAAGCACATCAACATGGCGGTCGAGAACGAGGAGGAGCCATTTCGGGGATCGCCCCTCTCACTATGCCCTGTACTCTCTCCCTCCCTCTCTCTCTCTCTCTCTGGTAGAGTTCCCGGAACGCTAAGGCACCCGGGCTTCGGTGCTTTCGCCCGGAATTCAGAGCAGATCTGCAGTTCGTGCGTTGTAAGGACTCTTCTTCTCCTCCTCCTCCTGCGCTGTCCCAAATTTGGGTCCCGGGCCCGAGGCCAGGACTTGGCAGTGCAGGCCTTGTGGCGAATAAAGCCTAAGCTAAGGACGCTCGGGTCATGAGACTTCATGCATAGCCATAGCCATAAGCGAAGGAATTATCCAGCTAGAGCCGGTCCGATCAATTATGTTAGAGGACTATCCAATTGCGGGAAAGGGTTCAGAGTCATGGTGCTCCCCCTATTGTATTCCCATAATTTCCTAGGTTGACTTCAATTGTCATGGTGGGAAGTGGTTCATACACGGAATCGATTCTCTCCGTGCTGCACAGCTAGGTACCTTTTCGTTCTTTTGTTTTCTCTTTTTCCTCTTCGGCACTTGAACGATCTGCACTTTTTTCCGCCCCCTTTCTTCCTCTAATACTCAGAAGCGTTCTCCAGCCTTTTCTTCTAGCGAACGAATTTCTCGTACAAAGTTAACATCGATAAGGAGATGTTATTCCGGATTCCCATGCCCATATGTAGTTTCCAATGTTGGGTTCAACCTGGCTTCTTGAAGCCCCCGTGAAATGGACGGTAGAGATGGGGAGGGGGGCGATGGAATGGAAGCCCACGAGGCGGGCAACGATGCTCAAGGCTGCATCTGAAGCTGCACCTCGGTGAGTGATTCAGGAATCCGTTTTCTCGGCGTGCGTGCGTGCTTCTAGAGTGAGTAGTAGTGAGTAGTGAGAGAGAGTGACCGACTGGGTCGATGATGTCCACCCCATGAAGTACCTAGAGCCAGCAATGGGAACGCACGCAAACACTGTTGTAAGGTTTGAAATCCAATCTCGCGCAGAACCACCACTATTGATAACGATCGATTAGAACCAAAAGTCCCAGACGAAGAAAGTTGGCTCACACGTCAAGCATGCCAGCCAGATAGACGCACTGCAGGCACCTTTCATTACCTCACCGAGGTCAAAGTGGCGAGTTGGCGGGTTGTAGGATCGTCATCATCCATGCCCTTTCCAGCGGCTTCTAATCTAATCCAGCCAGTCCAGGCCATTCAACCTTTAGAACCATGGCGCCATCGTAAGAAGTCAGTGGTCGACAGCAGATGCCAACCCACCTCCATATGCAGCAGCCGCTCCTGGACAAAACCAGCACTTCCAGCCTCTTCCAGTCAGGCTTGCTTGCACCATGGAACCTTGGAGGTTCTCATTCTTCCCTCACTCCATCTTTCCTGGACGCCATCGACACTCTCCCAAATTAAGGGCGCAAACTCCTTCCCTTTGCTCGCCGACTCACAAAACAATTAGCGCAAAATATCTGCTGCTGGTAATTATGTGTCTGTCTCACCGCCAACAACAAAAAAAAAATCTCCTTTTATATCGAAAATGCTGTAATTCTCACTCTTTATATCGACACGGATAAAAAGCCCATGCATTTTAATTCATGCGCCACCGGTTGACTGCCGAGGGAAAGAGAAGAGTTTCTTTTCAAGAAGGGCAAGATATTGAAAACAAAAGTTGTTTGGACTCACATTAGAAGCTAAGCTTTATTTTTAGAATCTATTCGAAGCTTTCCTCCTTTTCCACGTTCTGCAAATGTTTTCAGTTTACGTGGTTGGTTTATAGATGATGACAGTTGCTTCGGAGCACAGGTACTCCCGACTGAGGCTGCAAAGTGCCTCCCTCTACTGGAGGCTAAAAATACATTCTCATCAGAGCTATATTTACAGAGATTAGTTTAAGAGACTTAATACAAGCATTCACTGTGGAACATTCGCTTCTTATACTTGTTACCTAAAGTTGTTTCGTGTCCGAGATTGAGATTACTGGACCAGGGGTGGCACCTTTGATATTTGTGTTGTCATATCCTTCGCAGGTTTTTGACAACGATGAGCAAAAAAACAAGAGACGATTAGAAAAACTATCAACTCAAATTTGAAGAAGTAATCCTTTGAGCTAAAGAGATTTTCAAAAAATAACTGGGGAAAACGGTATGCAAATAGTACGAGCATCACACGCCGATCTATGCTCAAATACAGAAGAATTCACGTGAAGACTTCAACATGTTCATTGAAGAGTCTGTGTGGTCCTGCCATGTTTAGACAAAATACGTGTCATATTTTTGGTATCGTATAGCATACCTTAAGCAGCATGTTGCAATTTCTTTGCATAGAACGTTTATATGATGTGGATTTCGTGTGTGTTGTGTGACGTAATACTAATTGTTATCTTGTAAAGGTCTAACCCCTATTACTCGTATAATTTCATCCTTGATAGAATTTTTTTGCTATCTATTTGACCCCCATTCTCCACCTTGAAGTGTAGAATTTGGCACACATCTAAGATGGTAATGTAAATAAGATAAGCATATAACTCAAGCAATTGTATAACACGTAATTTTTCATACTCTTCGCAAGTGAGAAGGATATCTGAAGGTCACATCATACAGAAAGTCAAACCCTATGACCTGAATATATACTTTCCGGGAATAAAAATTCCCCCTCAAGTTTACATTCAGGTCATACTATGTTAAGACTTTACAGCGTTATTGATCTTATATATTCTGTTAAGTCATACTCGGCATGAAACATGGGAACGAGAACCGGTTATCCTTAGAGTAGCACTGATCGCGGTGGGGTTGCGCATAGCCAAACAAATAATTGCACATCGCAAATCTAGTCGGTTATTCTATCTTGCTCTACCAATGCCTTCACTTTTTGACATAAGCAAACAACAGAAACTCCTTCCGGTTGAAAGCATTCCAAGACCGTAGATTGGATTGGAATTGCGGATCTAGTAAGTTGCTAAATCTGCGCTACTCTCGCGATGCATCCAGATGTTGAACCCTCAAATGCTCGTTTGCAAACCCAAGTTAGTTCTTTCTATTTTGATTTATTAAATAGTTACATTAGTATAAATTAACATTTTGACCAAAACACATGCAGTCGAGACACTCTAGGAATGTATCCCAAAGTATGAACCTCCATTCTACTGTTTCCATTACAAAAATGGCAACGGTTACATCTTTCTCTATGTTCACGAATATGTACTTTACAGTAGTACATGAAGAAGACAAGTTTTTACTCATCCTTTCAAATGTATATGATTCTTCGGATGACCTTCCATATTTTTTGAAGTTGATGTCAAGCAAGATTAATAGAAAATCCCGATACATATTTCTAAATTCACAATAGAAACTGTACATTTACCTTGTAGGCTTTTTTCGTACATATATAACAGACTTCTGCACATCTACAAATTGCATCATCATCGTTTCTAAAATTGTATATATACTGTCAGCTTGTCTTAGTACCAACTTTCAAATTTTCACTCTTGTTCTTATGGTCTCAAAACATAAATCCATTCTATGTTTGCATTCATTTATTTTTTTGGGAAATACTAGTTTTCAGTTAAGTTTTTCCGTAGAATGTGTATGAAATATAAGATCTGCCATTTTATTTTTCCCATTTATGAGATTTATTCAAATGTTGTAAAGCAAGCCTCATTAAAAGTGGCATTTTATCAATAAATGCTATCTTTGCCGCAATTAAAATTGGGCCGATGCTACGAATGAGCCTTCTCGTACAGGGACTCTTTGGCTGCACTTTCGGCTTTACGGCGTAAATATGCTGTAAGTGACTGGAAAGAAAATCCTTGCATTTGCGTTTTTCAACCGACTGTGGATTGAAATAAGTCATGACCACCCGATGGATGTAATTTTCCCAAGAAAAGATTATGACGTATACACGAAGGTTTTTTAATGCAAGAATATTCCTGAATATGGAAGCGAGTTTCTCTCAAGTGGTAGGATTTAGCAGGTGATGTCACTCATCTTCGTTTGAGGTTTTGAGTAGTAATATATTTCACGTCTCGTGGATTATGGAAGTTTGCATTATTCAGTTGAAGTTTAATATACTCATCGTTACAATGAGGAACC